CCCCCTCTCAGTCTTAGTCGTCTCCTCTGGAACGCCCCAACAACAATATGTGTTCCATTAATATCTATAGATATCTCATGATATCTTCACTGCCTTTCCATTCTGTCAGAGCCCGTCACGGGGAGACTACACAGTCAAAGTCGAGATGCTAGGGCTGCTAGACCGTGGTCAGCCACAGGGTCGACCAACCTTCATGCCCTGAATCATGGAAGCAAGGTCCAATTGGGCTGGCGTTTCCTTCAACCACTCATGATAGGTCATATGAATGTTTAAGGGAGCCCTGCTGCTAGGATTGATTTCAAAGTCCACAGGTGTGAGGACGACATAGCGGCATGTCAACTTTTCCTGAAGGTCGAAAGCAACACATACCTGGATCTTCAAACGGCACTCATTTTTGCCGGAGGCATTTTTCCGTGAAAGTCCGCCTGCGATCAAAAACAACATGCCGTTTTTAGGGGTTGCAAACATGTGCTCAAAATCCATGGACGGGGAAAGACACCGTTTGGACGCCTAAAGACGCCGTTTAGAAGCCTCAAAATGCAGTGTCTTTTTGTGTTCTTAAAGAGGCAATTATTTGTGCCGTTTCGACTATCCTGATATACCTAATGTACCTAATAATCCTAATACGGCACCATGATTTGCAAGATGTTTCTATCTTTCCAAAGTAGGTGTTTAAACCGTGCTTGGGCGGTTCTTCTCGTTTGGGTGGCAGCATCCTGCGCCACCTGTATAGTCTAGTGTCCGAGAAACGGGGGGGGCGTTGGAGACCAAGAAGCTCGGAACCATCATCGCACGTGTCCCAAATGGACGAGTACTCAGGCTTAGCTCGGCGAACCAGGCACACCACTTCGCACCACATCGAGGCCGAGGGTTGGGGTTGGTGACGAAAGCTAGGGCGGGGGGGAAGCGGGTGACAGTCGGCCCACTATGCCAGCGGGGCCCCCCGTACGTATGAAGTGTTCACGCGATGGAGGCCCCCCTCTCTTGCTAAAGCAAGAACAACTCCAGCTAGCTGGTGCTAGCTTTCGTGACTACACCGCCCAGGTAGACCCACCAGCATACCTTGATACAGATACATCTTTCTTCTAAGAAACAAACACTCGTGAAACGGATCTCTCATGGATAGGGGGAACACCGTTTCGACTCAAGTCCGCCCAGCACTGTGCCAGACTCCAGCCCCGACTCCACCAGACTCCAGCCCCGCCCTTCGCGGCCCCGGGCCGGGAGGTCCATGTGGAAGGTGGGCTTCGGCCCCATCGCCGGGCGGTCCATGTCGGACACATAGAGCGCCGTCCTCCGGCGAAGCGCTGCTCGAACAGCGCACTCGAACAGCGCCCAAGAATCGCCCAACCACGTGTGTCCCGAACAGCGGACTTGAAGAAGAAGGATGGAAGAAGCCAAACATCTCCGCTGGCCAAACCGAGTTGACCCAAGGCTGGACAACTGCCAGGTCCGCAATCACACCAGGTAACCACCAATGTGTTGCACATAGATAGATGACGCCAGAAAGCCGCGAAATGAGAGTCCAACAACAACAACAACACCAGGACCAGCAACAGCAACAGCAACAGCAACAGCCCCAGCAGCAGCAGCAACAACAACAACAACAACAGCAACAGCTCCCCCCACAAAACGCCTCCCAGTGCCCACAGCTGCTGCGGTCGCGCTCGAGCTCCCAACCGCTCTCCTGTTGCTCTGGTCCCGCGTGCTCTTGGCCACCCCAACGCCCGGAGGGGAACGAATGGTGCTCAAGACCTGACGCGGACACGGACACAAAGCGGACGCTGTCCCGCGGACATGGGTGGACAGAGGCAGCGCAAGTCGGTTGGGAGCTGACCGTGGGTTGGGCAGCTTCAAGAAGGACCCATAGCAAAGTACTCTCTACGGAATATAGTTGCATTATGTTGCATTATCATGCAGTTACCCCACGAAAATGACCCGTCCATGTAGTTAAGAAGCCCAGTCCTATGGATGCTCAGGGGTAGCAAGCCAGATTCTTGGTGTCTCCCGGTTCCACAATTGGCTTCATGGGCCGGACTGAGAAACCACATCTTTTCCATAAGGGCCTTCTGGGCTGGACCGTACACAAGAACATCTCTATTGTCCAGCTACGGGAGGAAGCTTCACCGTGACCCCGAGGAAGCTTTACCTGGAGTTCACGGATGTGTCCAATAAATTGTCCACCAGTCACCTCAAAAAGACTAATATATAATATATATATAATATATATAGTGGTTTCAGAGTAGATTGCACAATCCCCAAAAGGTGGTTTAGGAGGACCCCGTATAAAAGACATTTTTGGGTTTGTGCCATCTACTCTGAAATCACTGTATTATATATAATATAGTAATATGCGTGATGGTGCTGGGACGAGATGTCTAGGCCCTGGCCACTCTCGCCTCCAGCTGTGAAAAGCCCATCGGCCCACCACAGCTTAATCAGTCCCTCACGATGGACCAGGATGGCCTGTTTTCCGATGGAGCTGAAGACTTTGTCTTCAATGGCCAGCAATTCCGTCGGCCTGGTGTGGGAAGGTGTGGGAATTGGGACTGGGCCAAACATGGCCAAACATGGCCACTAAGTGGCGGTGGTGGTTCGTTTTTCTGATCTACCAGCACCTCAAGGTCTGTTTTCAAGAACATGGTTGGACCCAAGGACTAAGGATCTCAGAATGTCTTGTACTCAACACTCCGCCATCTCTGCCCCTGTTAGGCCTGCATTCCTTCCTGGTCAATCAGGGTGTGGATCAAACAGTCTGCATCCAAAAGAAAGGAGCCAACGATAGTCGGTCGGTGCTGAACCCCAACCGATCGACGAAGAGAGACGTCGACTCCGTCGGCGAACGGGCTCCCGGGCGGTGGATTACGGGGGCTCTTCCCGCTCATCGACCAGGCCTGGGAAGCGAGTCGTGGGCAGAAGTTTACACCGTAGGCGACTTGAGCGGCTGGGTTGGATAGGCCGCTGCCCTCAGTCATCCACTCACGCGATCTCACTCTGCCAAAGAAGGGGCTTCACATGGGCATCCACTCCCTGGCCTCACTTCGGGATAGACATGTAAGCATCCGTCTTCACTTGATCGTCCGTCTTCATGGAAACCCTGCAAAGCCACCGGTGGAGGTGCCCACCGTGCCCACCGTGCCCACCTCCTCAAAGCCTCCGACAGGCCCCTCTCCGGTCCCCCGGGCCGGCGCGGTGCGGCGTGGACTGGTGGGCTGGTTGCCCAGCGAGGTGGCCGGAGCATGGGAGCCTCCGGAGCCAGGGTCGCCTTCCCCATGGTGGGAAGCATCAAACGACCCGTTGGATGGAATTCCTCATGTTCTTTCGTTGGGATTGGTGCAAAGTCGCTGCGCGCAACTCTCAACTCGCAAGAATCGGGCAGCGTCTTTACTTCACAAACGTCATCACACTACGTATACTGATATGTACTGATTATCCAGACCGACCTCGGTCGCTAAACCCCAAAAACCAACACCTGGACCTGCACCCCGCTCGTCCAACCGACCGCTCCTGGGCCCAAGGTCCTGGGACTTCCAAGCTGCAACGTCTGCACCCTGCGCCGTGCCAGAACCCGGCGTCTCCACACGTCCCACAAGCCCACCACGTGTGTCCCAGTCTGAGGAGCCATCTGGGTATGGACATCGGTCAAATATGGTCAAAAGGAACCGATTAATTGAATGGTAAACGACATGAGGACGGAGGTCTCTACAACTCTATACAGTACAGTGATACATAGTGAGTGGTGCTGGCACTTGTGTTATCGTCTTTTTGTTTAAAGTCCAAACTCAAAGTACCTCGCCGTGCTTCGGTTTTCCCGCCTGGTCTCCTCTTTCGGCTTCCTCATCTTGGAGGCAAAGGAGTACGCCGGCCTTGAGTCGACGGTCTCTCGACTCGGTTCGAAGGTGTGGACCGACTGTGCAGGACCATGGCACGAGGTGTCGAACACCTCACCGTTTTCCGGCCAGGTGGCAGTGGATCCTATAGTTTTTGGGGATGTATAGGGTCCATACACATCCTATCAAGATCCATCAACCATCATGAATCCCGAATTCTTCAGCCAAAACAGTCATCACTCGAGTTCGACCCAACCCGGTGCGATCCGGTAGAGCTCGCAGCTCCTCATCCGTCTTCGCAGACCGCAAAGGACTCGCCGCGTGTCGCGATCCGCATCCGCGGCTGGGGTCTCCGAGCACCGTCTTGTGGATCTCCTTGGGAAAGTACTCCAGGGCTGAGGGTGATTCCATGCCTGTCCAAACGAAGAAAAGCGGGCCACTTGAAGCACGAAAGTGCTTGGATCACTTCCAGGCTGCTTCGGGTTTGGATCATCAGATTTGTGGGGTGGCTCAAGGTTTCACCCCGATTGCACGCCTGTCTCCGCTTGGTCCAGGTGGAAAAAGAACCGTGCTTGAACGTTGCCACTACATGAGTATCGTATATGGGGTGGGTTTTCCCTCATCACTGGGTGCCCTCCAGAACATCCTGAAGCATCATGTCAACATGGAGCCTCTTCCTCAACGAGTCACATGCCTCTGATCAAGTTGGATGCATCTCTCAACTGCGGTTGAGCCTGGAAATGAGTGGTCCAAGGTTCAATGAGATCTAAGAGTTTTAAGGCTTTTGGTTCTATAAGGTCTATCTCTTCATGTCTTAAGGTTCAATGCTAGGAGTGTCAACATGTGCCAACCCTTAGACCATCCTACCACCTACAAAAGTTAGGCTTTGTGTCAGCGAACCCTTCTGAAGTTCGGTCACCACTTGCCCCGTCACATCGGCATCCTCTCGCAGCCCAAAACATCGACCACCTTCGGTTCCCTCGCTTCGGAAACCCCGTCCGCGTCGCTCGCGTTCGGCGGTCCCGACAGGTCCCCCGGGCCCATGGCAAGCTCCGCGTTCGTCCGCAGGATCTCTGCATTCTTCAGGCTCGAGCGATCCCTCGACTCGTTTGGTGGAAGGCGGTCGTTTTGAGCCACCGGGTGGCAGGGGCCGCCACCGGGTACATAGAGAGATGGCCTCTCTGTAGAGAGGTGTACTACAAATCATTCTTTGCCTAGAGTCATGTATACGTAATTATGTCTTAGTCTGTAAATTTGCCCCCAGACATCCAAAGGGTTGATGTTCAAATGTGTTTACACACAATCAAGTTGATGATCGAATGGTTATGATGCATTGTGAGCACCTGGTGACCATAAACCACCCTTTTTGCCCGAACTGCCAGGCCACCTCCCAACTTGCTCGGGGAGTGTTGGATGGTTTCCATTTTTCTTTCACCCACCTTGTGTCCAGCCCACACGGACCAGTCTAGTCTCCCCACCTGAGTCTCCACCTGAGTTTCCACCTGTCTCCTTTATCCCAGCGGCTCAGAACCCAGGTGGACTTGTGGAGTACTGTGGAACTTCACCTTTTGCGTGTCCACCGTCGCGCCTGAGCGAACGCATTCACGAAGCGCAAGCGCGCGCAGAACCCGGTGCCGGGGGCGGCGGAGCCCTTGGATGAGTGCTTCGCACCTGTAGCGACTTCTTCTCTCCAACTCAATTCAGACAATCTGCCCGGCCGATCTGGTGTATGCTGATCATATGTAGATATCTGTAGTATCGTATTAATATGTTTTTTTGCTATATAGTCAACAGGGCGTCTAAATACAGATTGACCCCCCTCTCTCTAAAATTCATATTTGTTCAGAAGAATGGCAAACGCCACATCGAACGGAACACTCCGGTCGCCCATCTCTTCCGCGTTGCGCCCTGGGCTTCGCTTCTGCGCCGCTGTGGCGACTGAGAAGCCGAGCTGGTGAGGTCCACGCTGGAGTCGGGATACTTGGCAGATGGATGCTTCCTGAAGTGGCCGATGGTCCCGTTGGTGGGTCGCTCTTTTCGCAAGATGTCTGATCTGGGATTACGGATGGGTGGTCCAAGAAGAGTGTATCAGCGTATACCTGGTCAAGAAGAGTGTGTTTCGTTGATCAAGAGATGTGCGAAGATCGATCAATCTTCACGTTTGATTCTCTTGGGAGAGCTGGAATTTCCATAAGTGCTGTGCAAACGTTGCAGGGATGGAAGCCGACATTGAGGTCGCTCGTGTCCACGTCATAGCTCTCTGGCAAAAAAAAGAACATAGAAAACAAAAAAATTGCCAAATGAGTCATGTGTGAAGTCTGAAAGAGGTTAATTAGTACTGTGGTGACTGTGGTAGATGAAAGACGCTGGCTAGCTGCCAGCGCCCGGGAAAGTGAAAACTGCTGTATTGTAATTGACAAACGATTTGCGCATCATTGGCGCATGCTGGAGCTCTTCCAAGCGGGAGTATGGCTGGGGAATCCCCTCTATCCCACTTCATTTGAGGCATGCCATGAGTTTCAGGTGCATCCAACGTCTCGAGCGTGCCAAAGCAAATCACCACCAGCTGCTTCTGTTCGCAGCCCCCTGGCTGGCCAACCCTCCACCACTTCTGGGTCTTCAGTCTAACACCCCGAACGCAAGCGCATTCGGCTGGGTCCCAACTACTTCCATCTGGGTGTTGCTGCAAATTATGTCCCTACTTTGATCGACTTGAGGTGTGTTTGATTGTATGTTGACAGCTAGGTGTGTTGTTTTGTCACACCAGGTTATTGCACCACAGTCACGCCACCAGATCCGGGGTGATCCGATCCAGACTTATTCACAACATGCCACGTCATCCGTCACAAACCACTGACAAACCGCTGGGCTGGGCTATGGGCGGCTCTCCCATGTGGACCCCCACTTGCCCAGCCGCCTTGCTTCATCGCTGCCGAACGAGAAGCTGGGCGCAGCGCCCACCTCAGGGTGCCCCAAACCGAGGTGTCCGGGGGGTGCCCGCCAGAAACGCTGGGCGAACCCATCCCAAAAAGCAATGTGGCTGCAAGGCGCTGTGTGGGGTAATGCTCAACCAGCAACCACTGGCGATTGACGACAGGACAAGGCCTGGGGGCTACGGCTACGGCGGCCGCTGTAAAGAGGCCGCCGCAAATCAATGACGCACAGTTTCCACGTGTGTCCTATCCTTCCTTTGCAGTGGGATGGTGCAACGACCGCCCCAAGAATCCCAAAAACGAAGGTGTCACTCTTCAAAAACGAACGTGTCATCTTGCAATCATTGTGATGTTTGTTAGATTTCTACTTTTTCATACTTTTTCCAATCGACAGGTTAATAAATGAAAGCGCATGCGGGTGATGAGCCGCGAAATTGAAAGCCTGGCACGCGAAAATGTTGGAAAACATTGCAAGTGACAACTCCAACAAACAAATACCGGTGTACGAACACACACGAGTAAGAATAACCCTGACAAATGCCGTAGGCGTTCGTCCAATCTGTGTAGCCTTGCTGCCCGGTTGTCACTCGTGAATCCGTTTTCTACCTGTTGACAGTTAGAGCTGGTTCCATCTGCTACCTTAGTGGCCACTCGCTAGGGAAATCTCCAAAGTTTGCTGAATTTAACGCAGTGAATGTTGATGTCCTGGTGTTTCTACATGTATCTGACTGGCCGTGCGGTGCTGTTTTGGAAGTATGAAAGCTAATCATCTGATGGCGGTGGCACCTTCGGGCGTTCCAATGATTCACGATCTTGTTTTTGGCCGCTGCTCAGGTAGGTCTTGTGGATACATACGTGTCGGACAGCCAGAGCACAGGACCCATACGTGATGATGGGTGACTGTATGGGTCCTGTGCTCGAATGTCCGCAATCCTGTTTTGACTCTTCAGCGTGTCAGCACAGCTTCATGAGAGATATGACACATGCAAAACACATGTCAACAGTCGTAAAGGTCATGACTATGTTCGGAAAAGTATCTCTGATACGTTTTACCAGCATAGACCCCAAAAAGTTTCAGCAGGATGTTTTTGCGTTAATTCCAGCGTTGGTGGAAGCGTTTGTAATTGACTGTGACCCTATCAACTAGGAATGGGCATAGGTCCAGAAAGACGGCTGTAGCTTAGCTAGCTGACACATCAAGCGAAAAAAATAGGGAAAAAATTGGAAAAACATGTGCAGGTGATCAGCATCTGAGCAAATACCATGCCTCCTGTGGGATACTCACTCTTGTGGGACACCCTTGCGGAAACTTGTGTTACCTTGTTTGCGCAAAAGCGAAAATAGTAATGGTTTTGACAATCATGAGTTCCCTTAGACACAGTTCCAGGGATTGGAGAAGTGTTAGCTAGTACGACTAAGCTTAAGGAAACGATCTGGCTCATGAGTCACGGGCCAAAGCTCGAAAAGCGGTACATCGAGCTGACAGCAAAGCGGGCAGGGGAAGCCCATGCGGTACATCGAGTGACCCTAAAAGCCTTGGAGGCTGAGAGAAGCACGTTGAGTGCTGGATAGCGCAAGAGTGCTCAGATGAAGCTCGCGAGCTTGAACCATTTTCTGGCCAACAGCTTTCACAAGTAGTTCGTGGGTGAAATTTTGCATTGTTCGCCCCGGAACGACAAGGACAGCTTTCACCTTTGAATGTTTATATAAGATACAGAGCGAACACGGCTGCAAAAAAATACAACCCTTGTCAACTATTTCACTTTAGTGGAAGAAACAGTCGAAAGCTTTGCCTGGCGATTGTGCCAATCTTTCGCCAATCGGTGGCAGCGCCGATGGGCGTTTTTCTCAAGCTTCAAGCTTCGAACGAAGTCTCGAAGTGTGAACCTGACGAAGTCTCGTAACGAAGAGAAAAATATAATGATTAAGTGCTTTGGAACTTGATGTTGGTTGACGTAATCCATTTATTTACAGGCTGTGGAGCGGCCGAAAGGTAAGTTAATCTAACTGAACAGTAATTAGTCGGGACAAGTGCCCCAACTGTCGCAGACCTATCAAAAACACAACGAAAAAGCGGAGTGATCTAATGCAAAAACACCTTTGTCAGACACCTTCGTTTTTGGGCCATCCCGATGAAACGACTCACCAATGGAAACGACGCGTTGATGCGCAACGGATCGCAACGGCATCTCTCTGGACGGCGCCCAATCGCGGTGATTTCGGCCCCAGGAGCCGTCGAGGGCACGTGGTAGACCGGGCCAGGCGTGCCCACGCCGATCTGGAGCGCCGAGCGCGACGGGCCGTCGGTTTGCGTATGCCGTGAAGGCCACCGTGCGGGGCCTTATAAGAGACTAGGACTGTGAGATACTGTGGGAAGAAGATGGAAGAAGAAGCATATTGGAGTAGTGTTGGTTGGTTGATGTTTGTTGGTCCTTTCGTTGGACCGTTACCTACAACCATACAGTATAATTATACAATGTATATACGTCATAATGGTTCAAGAATTAATTCACCTTGATTCGAGCGGATCCAAGACCCACCCAAACACCAAAGTTCCAAACACCAACAGACTAAGGGATCTGTCCATATCTGTCCCGAAGCCTGTGGAAGATGGGAGAGCAGTTCCAGAAGGAGGAGCGGAGGCACCCGGCAAAAGAACTGCATGCAAGAAAACAAGCCTCTTCCAGGAAAAATGAGTGGTCTCAAAACCCCCCAGAACAAAAGAACTACAGTATTATATCGTGATATAGTATTTATAAATATATATATATGTGTATTATATAATAAGTGTCATACCGGCAACTAGTGGGCAGGGACCCTAGGAACACCAAGTAGACCCCCATTTTGTTAGGGTCTCGAATGATATCCCAGCAGCCAATCAATCTAGTGTCCTCATGGTGTCTCGGTCCCAAAAAAAACCTGTGGATGTCTGCACGGTAGCACAGGACCTCGTCGGGGAGTGCCGACTTCCGGATTCGCGCGTCAGTGTGGAACTCGGCTCCGCGCGGAGATCCGCATGGAACTGGAAGCGGAACTGGATGGACTATGATGGAGTCCCGTTCTTCTGGAAATGTGCGAAAACTTGCTTCAGATCTCTCCAAATGTCTCCGAATGTTGTCCAAGCGTCGGCAAAGTCTACTCTTGACTCTTGACAACATATATGTTTGATTATTTTGACTTCTCTATTATTGCATGTGCCATCTGTCCAGGGTTGGCTCGTGTTTGCATGTATTATACATTGGCTGGATGTAGCCTTGTTAACATGGTCATTGCACCATCAACCATCAACCCTGGGTCCACTTCACTCCCTCCGTTTGCGCGTTCCCCCCCCACCTCACGCCTCGAAATCACCTCGACCCTCCACGCCACCAGGCAACACCCGGCAACACCCACTGAACTTCCCAAAAAACGTCTCAAAGAAAATGGACGCCTTGGACTTGGCCAGCTTCTTCGAGATGAACACCTTCACGCCGCCTGAAGAACGACCGACCGGCGGGCGTCGACCGAGCCGCCGGTGACCCGTCGGGTCAGCGCGCGCGTTGCGTCAGAGCCGCCCGCCTTTGGCGGTGCCGAAGGAGTGTGCCGGGCCCGTGCGCTTGGTGGAGTCCGCCTGAGCACCTGAGGGGGTGAGTGAAGGGTCCATTGACCTTCATGATCCTTCATGTTGTCTTCATGTTGTCTGTGAATGGACGAGAGACGATATGATACGATGATCTCCAGCTGAAGCGATCCCAACCGGAGGAAGTCTCATGGATGAGCACCGGTCGCAGGGTGTCGCGACCGGTCGCAGGGTGTCAGACCCAATCCGGTGTGTGAACACCGGAGACCTCGATCCACCGGCGGGCTGCACCAAGAACCCTGTGGATGAAGATGGATGAAGGGTGGAGGCCATTGCTGGTAGGTTGAAGGCCGTCGCTATTGGGTTGGAGGCCATTGCTTCTAGGGTCATTTGGTCATTGCTTCTAGAGCTTTTGCAAACGCCGGGGTCGGCCGTGGCCGTGGTCGGTCGGGTTGCGTGAGAGGACCCAGCTGTGGCTTCATCTCGAGGCCCAAGCCCAGAGCAGAGACTCGAAAGGAGTCCTGGCGCAAGAGGCCGAAGGGAGTCCGGGCAGAGTCAGAGCGGCTGAAGACCACCACTCAGGAGACCTCCGGGACCTAGCCAGTTACTTCATAGGATGCATGTGGGTATCGAGGTACATGCTTGATCTTGGAAAAAGCTGAAAAAAATCGAGTCCTGTTTTTTCACTGATAACACAAGAATGAAACCATATTTCTGAGTGGTCAGCATGATCAGAACAAGAAGCTAACCCCGAGACCAAAGGGAACCTTCATGGCCTGGAAGAGCTGAAAGCTATTTCGTTCCGTATGTACTGTCCAAGTCTTCCCCAGTTCATACTGCCAACACCTGCTATATTGAGCATGTACTGTAACTGTAAACTGGGCATCCTGAGAGTCTCTGACAATGCTGCAGAACCTTGCTCAATAGGCCTACAAGCTGCCTCCGTTCGCCCGTTCGCTGTAGAAGAAAACTTCAACACTGTATTATATGTAGACTCTCTATTTTCAATAAACCCATATATATATATATAAGATTATATAAGCTCCCCCAGTTGAACTGGAAATGCTCTTCATATGGGGCGCTTATGCATCAAGAGTCTACATGAAGTGCGTGGTTTCTCCATCTAAACTCCTCCAGTCTCTCCAGCATCTCGCTTTCGTTCGTCACAGGGCACCCGCACCGGCACCAAGGTCGTCATCGGCCGCGTCTCTTTCGCCTGTCAGACAGGGCGGAGAGGCGCTGGTGCCGATGTGGCAGGGACAGGAACCAAACGAAGGGTGCACTAGAGTAGGGAGACCTGCACGAAAGATTCCCTGGAAGGGAGGAAAATAGACCACAAACCCATTGGTGGGGTCTGGGGGGTCTCCCTAATTTAGAACAAGAACGTTCCGGTTTGTCAGAGAATCTGAGTCGCATGATGCCGCATGCTTTGAGCTACACCATGTAACACGGCTGATTTAATTTGGCGGCGAAGGGCTGAGTCCCCACACAGCTGATGTCGCTCGGACAGCGGGTCTGCTACTGACTACTTGTGCTCAGTGAGGAAGAACTAAAGGAATCGGAGCATTGCTGGAAAGATGCGCAGCTGGTTTCTGATGATTACAAGCCCTCAGGTACATGGGAAAACATTCAAACTTGTTGCTGAGAAAACAAGAAGGCAAGAAGCACAAGATAGAAACTGCCAGGTCTTATCCTCCTAATCTGAACTCATGGATTCACAGGTGGCCTTGCATTCATCTTCAGTTCTATAGTTCATGGTCACCCGAAGTGCATGGTCTGGTGTTTTTGCTTGGAATCTATGGCCGGAAACCATCGCCTTTGGCGATGGAATCCGCAGAGCAAAACTCTGAAGCCGGCAATGGACGACGTTGGATATGCCAGGAAACCGACGAAAAGCGAGTCTTAGTCTGTCTTTCAGTAAACCGCTGAAGAGGCATGCTTGAAACCCATTCAGCCTGATTACAGTACATGTTGTCGTCTGACATCAAGGACAAAACAACTTATATATATATATATACACGTTTTACTAGAGAATGAGTTCAGTTCGGATCATCTGTGGTTGTTTCATGTTGTTTCTTGACCTCTTCCATCCTCTTCCCCCATCTGGACGAGCTTTTTCCCTTCGGATCTGGTCGCTTTGGACCTCCAGAAACGCCGCACCCCGCATGCTGCGACTGGCGCATTTCACTGGAGGGGGCGGCAAGGGAGGGCAGCTGAGGATGTACACCTCAGGCGGCAGAGATATCACTGGCCATCACCACTCAATTTGGGTGGCGTTGGATACATGTGATTGTATATAATATGGATTAATATGGTATATAAATAGCTGGGAGGGGCGTTCTGACCCAAAAAACTGGGAGCTTCTTGCACATGGTTTCTTGACTACATTCATGTTGATGTTCAGATGTCATTTCCGATTTCCCATCGACCCGTCCATCCAAACTACTTGGGGGTCTGGCACTCTCTGGCCCACCAGTGGGGCACCTCAGCGACTCACCCCCTCAACCGAGGCTCCAGACGGAGTAAGGCACGGGCTTCCCCATGATGTCCTGGCGAAAACCACTGGTGAACCCGCCAGCGAAGAGCCAAGAAGTCTGCAGAGCCACGACGTTTCTCTGAAGAGCCAAGATGAACACAACCTGTATCGAGAAAGAGGGGCGAGCACTGCAGGATCGAGCGGGAGCTGAAAACATCTTTAAAACCAGAATGGTGGAGAACGCTCATGTGATGGATATCCTGCCTCTTCCACCTTTTATGAGCAGCTCTTGGCATTCAATCTGCGTCGGTACCCTGCCCCATGCACCATACCACAAATTAGGAAGCAAAACCCTCATGCGTTGCGGTGTGGACTCGCAGAAACTGAGCCCGAGTCTTCTTAAGTAGAAAAGGATCAGGTGTCCAAAACGGATTGGTTGCGGATCTCAAATCAACTCGTCACTTCCGTTTCACGCCCACATACAAAACCTATGCTGAATACCGTGTCTTGCACCCACAAAACCACCTACATCCATGATCATCCATGTCCACCTACTCCTCGTTTAATCTAGAAAAAACAAATAAAAACACACCGAACGCCCCATCCGCACCACCCCACCCCTCAGCAAACGCCTTTGGGTGCAGCTCCATGTGGTGCCCCACGTAAACGCATTGAGGTCGACCGACCAAGCCAATGACCCTGCCGGTGACATCGCTGTTGGGTCCGGGGTTGACAAATACCTGTTTACCGACGTTGGGTAGTTGTTTCGGTCTATAGTAGGCATAGATTAGATTCCAGTCCCATGGAGTGTCTGGGTACATGGATACCCCAGGAATTCCAACTGACTCAATTTTACTCCGCCTGGACGTCAATCCATCCATCACTACCAGTTCGGGGTAAAATGAGTCCAAGGATGTCCTATCAGGGTACACTCCCTGGTAGTCACTCAGTCACTCGGAGGTATCACTCCCTTGGACTGTTTAACCTCCCTCAACGTGGACGTTCGCCTCTTTGGGGCCGCGTTTTCCCCTCGCCACCGTGGGTGGACGGACCAGCGTCACCTCATGAGACCCTTCGGTTCAAAGCGAAGAGGTGACACCAGGTGTCCTGATCCGACTCCGGCCTGGTCAGGCATTCCGTCTTGAAGGTGCTTCGGTCAAAGTCACACCTCGCGGCGAACTCACGGTGCGAACTGCGTCACCCACGGTGGGCGGAACTGGTCTGCGAACGCCGACGAAGGGCCGAAGGACCACTGATGGGCTCCTAATCCCTGAAGTGGTTTGGACCTGGGCTATGACTTCAATGACCCCCTCCATGCACCTGCCCTTTGGTGGCTGCTCTCCTCGTGGCTGTTCGCCCCCTCCCCGCAAAGGGCCGGACCTCCCGGCAACCCTGATATATATATATATACCCTAGAAGTCGAACCACCATTGTTTTAATAGCCTTTACCGAACCACCATTGTTTTGCTAAGGGTTTTACACTACAAAACCAGTGCAACCATTTTTAAAATGGTCTTTGACTTCCAGGGTATATATATATAATTCATTATAAGTTAATACTTTAATACTTTCCGGGGGCATCTAGTTCATGCTCCAAGTTCAGGTCTCTGGACGAGATCTTCCGGTCCCAGTTCATGGTCCACCACAGCGAGGTCCACCGATCCCAGCGAGGTCCATCCGCTGCGCGACCGCTGGGTGGCCGGACGCCTGCGCGCCACAGATGCCTTTGGCACGGAAGAGCTCGTCGGGGTCCATGGCCACACACCTGGGGTGCGACACCCCAAACGACGAGGCCACGCGTGGTGAAAGCCACGTGGCCAACGACGGAAGAGAAACATGGACAAACCCACTTGGTTGGTAGAACATAGTCCTCCACGCATTGTCCACTTCGATGATTGTTTTTGAGAGGGGAAGACCATGTAAGACCTAATTTTGTAGCTTCCTTTGGGGGTAATGCTTTTGGTGCAGCAGCTCCACAAACGAAGGAGGAGGTTCAACAAAAGTGCGCCTCAAAAACATCCAAATGTACTTTTGGGAACGGTCGGTGCAGTAGGTACCATATTACCAGCTTATGATTATATGCCTTATATCAATTAGCTGTATACACTAATCAAAGGGAATTGACCACCCTATCATAAAGGGCCTATCGATGAATCTATGCCATCAGCAATCCTCCTCTTCAGTTCCCCAGATCCAACTGGGCCGCTCGGCTGCAATTGTGCATCCTCCTGGCAAAAAGCGGCGGCACGGGGATGATTTCTTGAGTTGGTGGGTCTTTCTAGTGTGTTTCTCTTGTTGTGTATTCTGTATTCCTTTATAATTGATAGTAATTGATATATTAGAAAATCTATATGTGTTGCACAAATATATTTAACTAAACCAGGGTTTCAAATACGTAAGAAGAGCCCGAGACTGATAAGGCTAATTGAAACATAAGGGAGTTGACGTTTCAACGGACCAAATTGGGAGCTCCCAAGTCAATCCGCCATTGGCACAGCTCAACGTTAGGAGCTAGAATGTTCATGGGGGGGCCTTGGGCCTGGTTCGCACGAAAAACCTAGACCCATCTTTATAGATGAAGACCCTAAGCCATCCAAAGCCATCCTAAACCCGTTCAACCGTGCTTTGGGGTTGGTGCTCATTGCAGCTGATGCGCTCTACTAAAAGCCATACTGTATGCCGTGCACCCATGAGTTTGGACTTTCGTGCGATAGAAAGAATCGATCCCTGGTTGATCACCCCCAAGTCCCCCCAATGCCGCGGTGTCGCATGCGCGTTGTTGGGTCCTTTTTGCCTAAGATGAAGCAATGGTACCTGCGGCGTCAACACTGCCGAGACCAAATGTTGCAATACAAGACATTCGCATCCCTCTGGTGTTTTCCAGAAAGTAGTCTTCCCAACCTCAACAACCTCAACCTCATCACTCCCTGAAGGCATCTACTCCCAGCTACACCTAACGAACCCCCCCCACCTTCGTCCAAAGTGCGGGCCCCCCCTGGGCTTGAAACACTAATGTAGACTCTTTGATATCTCTTGGTTATATTTCACCCCCATATGAAGAGGAGTGCCAATTCAATTGGGGTGAAGGTTTCTGTACCTCAAGAGTCTACAGTCTACATGTCTCGACCCAGAGGGCGCGTCCTCTTCGGCCGGCCGATCATGCCGTCCGGGACTTCGGGACTGGTCGGCCGCCGCCAGGCCATTCGTTCGGCCCATCTGTGGGGCACCACTGATGTGAGGCTGTGTGTTGAAGGAAGAGCCCACCAGGCGCCTCACCGGACCGAAGCCCGAAGCCGACGCAGAACGCGGAACGCGGGTTCCGCGGAACGAGGATCCGGTCGACTGAGCGGTTCGAGTCGGGAATTCGGTGGAGGGTGTTGTTCGGTCGATTCTGACGGATTCGGTTCAAACAATCTGTTCAGCAAACAAGTGACAAGGGCGCTTCCTCCTTGGACCCGGGTCCGTGCCGTCCAAGACACCAAAAAGATCCCCCGTTGGAGCATGCCTTGTCATCCTCCAAATCTGCGAGCCCCTTCGGAGCTCCTGGGAAGAACGGGGGAGTCCGAGGCACTTGAGGGCCCAGAAAGCGCCCATGGGGATGCAGCAGAGAGCTATGTCCATGCCTGAAGGATGCAATCGTCAAACCGCCCCAGAAAGCCAGAAAGCATCGTAAAATGCACCAGAAATAGGGGTGTATCTATAACCCCTATATATTTAACCGATAGAGGTGATCTATATAATTAGGGTGGAATCAGGCATGTCTGTCGCCAGTTTCTTTTGATGTCCATGTATGGATGTCCAGCCTAGGGATCCAAGTACCTCCTCAAAAGGTATTTGGAACCTCTCTATAAACACCTTGCCCAGGTAATGTTCATCAATCATCTTATAAAATCGATGCCGCGCATCCGCCTCGCGACGATACGCGCGACATGCCGCCGACATCCTCGGTTAATGCGGAGTACAGCATCCGTTGGCGCTTCCTGGGTTGGCGGCGTTGGTTGAGAAACTGCTGCATGCTACAACCATTGGTGCATACTGGATCACACATACCCACTCCACAACTGTTCATCAACCATGAAGCACGAAAAGCATCGGCACTGACTTAAGACACTCAATCCTAAATAATGAGGAACTATGTCAGACATGTCACCGATAGCGACTGCATTCGTGCGGCAATTGGCTACATTGCCGCAATTGGTTACAGTATATGAAATGTCTGTACTTCTTTGCTGCCCAAAAAAGACAAATCTGCTGAGTTGCCATGATGTTCTTTCTCTGGAAGAGCCCATAGAGCTCCGCACATTGCCTCTGAACAAGGGACACCCCTGGTCTCCCAACCAAGCAAATGAAAACGCCGGCCGATGGCTATTAGTTTGGACGCCATCGCTAGTAGGTTGGAGGGCATCGGTAGTAGGTTGGAGGCCATCGCGAGTAGGTTGGAGGCCATCGCTAGTAGGTTGGAGGCAGCAAGTCGGCATCCCCGTCTTCGAAAAAATGGCTCAGCGACTTTCTGCCAAGGGGTCTCCTGGTCTCCTCTCCGACTAAGGCGAGCCTTTTCATGCGTCCTCATGTTCGGGTGTCCGCGACCATGGCCGAATTGGAGTCCTGGCCTGGGGATTTTTTTAACAGGCACCCCAGACCAGCAATGTATCAGCTTATAATCTTATAAGACTCGGGTCAATGTCTGCAAGCATTCCAGTCCCATCAGTGGTTTGGGGATAGTTGGATTTCCAAGTTCCACGAATCTCTGGGCGGAATCGTGCACCATCATCTGCCTGAAAAAACCCGTCACGGGGACCGGCCAAATAAAAGAACGACCGCCCAGCTGGAGGTTGGACCGTCATGGTGATCCACCCAAGTGGACATTTTAGAGTAGTCTCCAACTCCCCCCTTCAACAACAACACCTAGACTGACTGGTGCTTAGCAGGGAATGAGGGAATGGATCCAATACAATCTCTATTGGGGGCTCATTCCCTTATTCCCTACTAAGCACCAGTCAGTAGACCTAACACCCGCATCCCCGACTTCCCGCTCATGGCCTGCCGACGTCCGGGTCACCCTTCCCGCCCGCACTGCCTGGCGCTTCGTCTGACCCGACCGGGACGTGGATGGAAAACCGTGAGGTCGAGCATGTTCAAACCGAATACAATGACTCAAACAAGCAGGTGGTGCCATCCATGGGTTTTCCACTTTTCGGTCCAGTCTGGCCCAGTGATTCAAGCCGTCCTGAAAGCCTCCTTGAGTACAGATAGTGCTCTAAGTATGACCAACTCCAGTAGTTCATGACATACAGTTGGTGACCTGTATGGGTCCCAGAATCCTGGCCGACGTCGAAAAAAACCATCCCCATTGCGAAGCCTTGCGAAGCCATTCCCAGAAAATACTACATGGTGACTGGAATATACGTACATTGACCCCTGAAATCAACCACCTGGCCTTACTACTAGGAGCAAGAAGGCTACTAGGAACAAGTGCATCGCTTCTAGTAACAAGTGCCTTACTAGTAGTTAGTAACAAGGACGCTACTGCAAATACTCAGGGACTTCGATCCCGATTGCGGAGCGATCCGGCGATTCTCGACGGCGTCTATATCTGGGCCGCCGGGCCAAAGAACTCCGACACGGCCTGGGGTCCAGGTGACTGTCCAGGTGACCAATCACTCAACAGGTTGGGGGTGGTGGTTGCTTTGGAGTGGAACAAAGAAACAGCACGTTGGGTTGGTTGGAAGTCGGACACATCAATCAGGCTACCAGGTCTGGGTGGAAAAAGAACTGGTCGTCCGAGCAAAATTCGGTGAGGGGTGCAGATGTTGCAGTCGTTTTCAAGCTAAATGAGTGATCTCCCAGTCCAGTTAAACTCTTGTGGACTCAATGCTTCACCCCTGAAGTCTGCAGAGACTTCCACAGCTTGGTCTCTTCAACTTGACCCGCGACCCGCGGTCGAAGAACTCGGCACCCGGGAACATCGCTTGGCTTAGCGGCAGCTAGGCTTCACTCTTCCCAAAGGATAGGGGCGATTAGGGACACCTCCAGACATGGTAGGGTCCTCCAAATAGTGGCTATCTGCACAAACCACATCCCCATTGAAATTCAACCGGTCACTGAGGTACACCCATTCTATAGTATAAAACGACTACCCCCAGCTTCGGGACACATAAATCCTTATAAAATCTGAGTTCTGGCAAAACGACATCTCTAACCCCCTTAGTCGGAATGGAAACCTAACGAGAATTAAATGGACAAATCCAACAACTTAAACATCACAACCCCCATCTCCGAGACAAACCTAACAACTTAAGATATATCAAAAACATCCGTCGATGCTACTTGTATTGTCAAAAAGAGTCGTTTCCGATAAAAGTTTCCAACAACATCCGACAACTTGCAAGCTTGATGTATGAACTGAAATGAACTGAACAAGCAAAACTCGTAAGGATCATCGAAAAGCAAAACCATTAACATTATTCATTGAGCCCAGAGGCTAAAGTAACAAACCTACACGACAGCACCAACCTCACTATAAATTCACAACCCCCATGTGACCATGCAGAAGCTCACGGAAAGCTATACCTTCCTCACACCTCTCGAGAAAATCTGACCTCCCAGGTCAGATGGTGCAACCTCACGGACGAGTGGCTCCATTCTATATATATAGAGAGAATTGCTGTAAAATGGTCCGTTTCTGTACCTGAGTTCCCTGATTCCATAGAGGACATTTCAATCGGGATCGGGCCACTGTATACCTGGGTATACCCATCTGCGAGACGCTTTAATTGATCCACGACTTGGTCTCCAGCATTCATCACCATGTCCTTGCCAAAGGCCTCGTCCACGGCGCAGCCAGGCCCGAGGAAAAGCAGGGATGAAAATAAGGGAATCGTCGTTCAGTTTCACATCTTTGGAGGCAAGTATAAAGTATTGCATAAAATAAGCAATTTAAAACACATAACTTGTACTACAAGTAATGTAATGTATTGTAATGTAATGTACTACAAGAAATCGGTGCAACACAAAGTCGGACTCCTTGGAGCCTTGAACGGGAGAAACGTTGGAAGTGATTTGGAAGCGGGGTTTCCAGACACTTTCGGTGGAACATCCCATATCTCAAATCATCTCAAATATCTCAAACTGATGGAACAAATCCTAACTTTGCCCACCAATTGTCCAGCACCTGTCTCATTCGGAGATAACAGGGTCCCTTCAATCTCTCCCCGGTGTCCTTGGCTTGCGGACCACCAAGCACCCAAGCAATCGATCTCGCCCTTTGGTGCAGTGTTCCAAAAACCGACGGCGATATCGGGCCTTGGCTTTGCCCAGCAGGCCCTGGGGCTTGGGCGGAATCGCCTTGCGGATCGGAGTGGTGGCCGATGCTGTCGACGAGCGTCCAGCTGGTCCATGGACGTCCGTGGACCGGAGTGTCCAGATGTCACAAGGAGTGTCCAATGGTCGCCAAATCCACCACTCTGCGAGTGACGTGGTCGATAGCTGCCCTCATGATGGAAATGAAGTCCTGGCATGTTGAATCATGTTGACATATGTTTAAAAAAATTTGACAGCCGGGTCCAAGAGTTCTTTCTTCGAAAAGGTAGTCACTGTCGAAAAATGACAAATGGTCCTTGGATGTGCCTGGTCATCTGGCCAGATTCTGTCACTGTCTTTAAATGTCTTCTCACAAATCAGTGCAGGCCAGTGCCAGTTCACTTCATCGACCATTCTACTGCCTCTCCCAGGTATCTCCCCCTTTTCGCAAGCGGCTGGCTCAAACATACTCAAACACTCTGGTTGGGTCTTGAGACCCTGTGAATCTGTCTTACTCTCGCCCATCCAATTGCCCAATCCCAGGCACCTTCCTAGCCCTCCCAACCGCCGCGACGTCCGGGCGTTTTCGCGGCTTCCCTGGCCACCCGTGCGCCACCCGCGGAAAAATCCATGTCGTCCACCCCGCGCCTTGGGTTGTGGGGGCACCTCTGATGGCAGCGGCAAGACTTTGTCCGCAGCTGGCAGGCCAGTCGCGGGAGCCGTGGTTCCGGAACGTCCGATCTGGGAAGATCGAGGGGTTTGAGCAGGCCGAAGGGGACCCTCAACTGGTCGAAGGGTTTTGAAACATCCATCTTGCTGGGAGTACAAAACAACTTTAAAATTGTCTTTGGGTGACCCCAAAGGGAACGTCCATGCATGAACCAAGTATGATATGGTCCTTGGACCTTTTGGGGCGCCTGAAATAAAGAAAATAAAGCAAACCAACTGAGGTCGACCCTGGTGGTTAGCGCCTCCCCATCCTCCCGACCCACTGGCACGGCCACGCACATCCGCCGCGAGTACAACGTCTTTTCCACTCCGGCGCTGGTCTGGTCGCAGTGGCGCGACCTGTGGCGTGGAGCAGCGAGGAGTCGTGTCTCGCTCTTTTGAAGCTGGGACATGATCGAAAACCAAGCTTTTCAATCTAAGGAGAATCTAAGGCATCGCGATACCAAGAATTAGAATCTGAGTCAACAGTCGAAAAATAAAAATACCGGCCCAAGAAGTCACAGAGCTGCTCCACAAAGCGACCAGGCAGTTGCTTCGGACATCCGACCCACCATCCCACTGAGCCAACCCGGCCATTGAAGCAGCCATGCCTCGAAAAAGTCCTCCCAAGACGCTTGCAACGTGGAACGACATAGAACGACATGACCCGGTTGGTCCCCACCCCAACAATGACAGGACTACGCACTACCCCTGGAAAGGGTCAAGGACGGATTCGGAAACTAGGATTCGGAAACGATGATTCCTAAGCTACGGCCTGATTCGGAAACCATGCTTCGGAAACTACCCTCTGATTCAGAAACCATGATTCCGAAACTAACATCTGATTCGGAAACTTGGATTCAGAAACCATGATTCGGAAACTACGACCGGATTCGGAAACTACCGTCTGATTCGGCAACCATAGCGGTTACCCCAAAAAGGAGCCAAAGAAAAACGTTGAAAAACTAATGAAATGGCCACACTGCACCCTTGCAGCTGAAAGCGACACGGGGAAACCTTTTCACCCCACGTCATTATCACCCCCCCCACCCCGTGGCACTATTATTCCCTCGTACCCCCCCACCGACCCCCACTCCCCAAATCCGCATGATGAGGCGTTTGCCGTGTTCGTGTTGAATTTGCTTACGCTTCCGTGGGCCTGTGTTTGATGTGCTTTTCAATTCGTAGTTTCGGTGGCGTAGTTTCTGAATCGTAGTTTCGCAGGCGTAGTTTCTGAATCGTAGTTTCTGAATCTTGGTTTCTGAATCGTAGTTTCTGGGTCATAGTTTCTGAATCGTAGTTTCTGAATCGGAATTTATTCCCTGGAAAGAAGGATTGGAAGTATATTCGCCAGCATTGTCACGAACAACAACATGTGCTGTATCCTGGTCTCAAAAACATCGTGATATCAACATTACCATCATCAACTGAAAAAGGAACCATGAACCATGAAGCAAGTACCAGGTTCCCAACCAGGTGAAAAGATGATTGTCCTCTTCAATGCGTTAATGTCGTTGTAGCGCCGTGCGCAGTTTGCACATGACTGCATTGAAACTCTGCGCTTTCAAAAATGAGTTTGGGGGGATCACAAGTGAAGCGGTTCTTTTCCTTTGTTCTTTCAGCGATTCTTCTTTGCCACTTGCAATTCTCAGTCAACAGGTCGTTTGGCGTGCATGGTCCAAGGAATCTTCGCCACATGCACTGCATCACCAACTTACAGATCTCTGGATGTGCTTTGGTTCCATGCCCATGGCCAATTCTTCTAGGAAATGCTGTGGAATAAATTCTTGAGGCTTTGCCACCCACAATCCGCAATCCGCGCGCCAGCCGCCAGCTGCAGTAGACATCTGTTCCACACACTGGAGGCGGACGCAGAAGGCCTTCGGCTTGACTCTGCCTGCTCTGACCTCCTGCTGAGTGTCCAAGATCTTTTGGTGAAATCAGCTCTGGCCCCTGTAGAACTTGCCCACTGAAGTGCCGTGGACGTCAACATTGCCAGTTGGAGGAGATGCATGCAGCTGCAGCGAAAGCCGCAGAAGTACGAGTGCGTCAGAAACAGATTCCGTTTGCCACATTTCTTGCACCACCAGTAAGCATTGGTGTGCTCCTGTTCATGCAAGCAGTTTTACATGTCTTTGCCATTGCAGGACTCCCAAGTTGTTGGCTTCCAAGCAAAGTATTTTGCAATGGGTACGCACTTAGAGGCGAACGGTAACATCCCAACCCATCAGAAGTGGTAGGCCGCATGTATGAAAAGTATTGTGCAATGAAAGCAAGGGACCAATGACACAAAAGAGAGAGAGAGAGAGAGGGAGAGAGAGAGAGAGAGACAGAGAGACAACATGCGGCAAAAAAACAATAAAATAACTCGTGAGAAAATCACACGGTGCGGCAGGGATCGTGCTCCAAGTACTGAAGCACACTAAGTACACATATAGGCCTAGTGCATTCCAAGAAACCAAGCTAGTCTAGTACCTCTTGGCACGTCCCAATTGAATCACCCGGTCACCGAGCCACACGCCACACCTCTGCCTCTTCCGGGGCGAAGCCTGCCCGCACCAGGCCCCAGACGTTCCGCCCGACTTGGGTACGATTGGGGGTGGTGCGGAATGGTTGGGATGATGGGAACCAAACCAAACACAGAGACCAATGACAAAAACCAGCAACTGCTTGCATGTGTCTGAGCCAAGACCTGTTGGGATGCCTCAGCCTGAGGATTCAGACATGAGAACATGTTGAGAAGCAGAAGCCATCTCGTTTTCAAACACAACCAAAGCCTTACCAACTGCACCAAACCTTGAGATTTGCCTAACCATCAAACATCATTGAACGAAAAAAACACTTACTGCCGCTGCCGCTGCTAGCTGAAAGGGGTGTTTATCCATGTTGCTGTTGGGATGTGTTGGGTTCTTTATCTCAACACGGATCTGTATGTTACTAGGGGAAAAATAGACCATATTTGTTTTGTTTGAACAAAGCAAAAACCATGGGTTGTGCTGCGAGTTGCGCTCAATTTTTTGATCCTATTGTCCTTCTTCCAGGCTTTCGGGGGTCTCCCAATGCGAACACACACCCACATGATTGCTTGATGTTGATTGCATCCTTCTGTGACTTCTGCCAGGCTTGGACCTCACCAGGCTCAATCCTACGCGGGCCAGCCTCCTTTTTACCCTCCTACTCGTGCCAATAGGAGCAAACAAGAAATCCTCAAAAAACCCTATCACATCCCTTCCATAGGGAATTCTGATCACTCCATATCCCTCCAAAGGCACGCGTGGTGAAGGGATCAACCCTATACTATCGCATCCCTCCACTCCAATTCCCTTCCATACGGAGACCCTCCGTCGTCCGTCAATCGCGCGCGCCTGGTCGACACGCGCGGAGCGTCGTCCTGCGGGCGCGGGAAAGCGACGGACCGGCGGTTCGTGTAGCCTATGGGGTGTTCGAGTTGGATCCACACATAGACATGATATTCTGTTACCAATCGGTTTTCTATGGGTTTTCTCATTCTGTTTTCTAATGATGTAGTCTTAATTCTGTATAGACTTACAGAATGATATTCTGTACCACCTTCAAAATCAGTGACCGTCCCTGAGATCCCCACACTGAAACGGTCTAAAATCATTTAGGCACGTTCGGTAGACTCACTCCAGTTCAAAGTCACGGACGCCAAGTTTCTGACCAATTCTAGCGGTCCACACCCTGGCATGTGTTTCTTCTGTGCCAATTCCATCCAATTCCCCTTTCACTGCCTGAGCTCTTGAAAGCCCACATGGATTCCCTGCAGCCGACGCATCACCCAGGCCTCGCAAGGCCGTCGGAAGTCCGTCCCCCTTCCGACGCCAAATCGGTCGGACGAAGAACCCCAAATCGGTCTATAACGTACCCTTTTTGAGGAATACTGGCTAAATTATGTAATATACCCCTTTTTCCCGTGGTTTTTTTCGCCAACACTCGTTGACTCTGATGCCATGGGTCCCCCAGGTGACAGGGTCCTATGTACAGTGAACCTCTCTTCGGAGCAGAGCTCCAACAACGCCACGCCGGCCACGGCGACCACCGACCACCCCGCTAAGGGAAGGTTGGCCCTGTATCACCACTGGTAGAACATCCTGAGAATACAGGTTGTTGTCCCTAGTATGTCATAGTCATAGCTCACTTAGTGAAAAGAGTGTTTGTTTTGTAAACTCGACATGGATGGTCATGGACGAAAACTCGATGGTAGACTGTCCACTTCAGCTTCTTCAGCAGGACTTCAGGGCGATGAAACCTGCAGAACCACTGCGAGCCCCCCGACCGGGAAGCGCTTCACCGAGCCCACCTGGTGCAAATAGACCGGTCCGTGACGGGTCGCTTTCGGCGCAAAGAAGGGTGAACAAACAGCGCAATGCCTTTGATCCACTCGCAAAACGCCAAGCAAGACATCCAGACCGTCTTCCGTCGCGGATCGAGTGTTTGCCAAACAGAAAGTTTGGACAACCATGCTTTGTGGTCCCAAGGGTTTCAGTGCCTTTTCCCAAGCCAACGACGAACCGAGGCGGATGATTTCAATGATGTCTCTATTTGGGAATCATGGAGTCCTACCGCCAGGTACCATATAGATCGACCTAATGCTGGTTCACGACCGGGGGTATCCCCCTTCTATGAATCAAGCCACCAATGGTACAGTGGTTTCAGAGCTTCGATGGCACGGTCCCCAAGCCCCATGGGGTGCGAGGACATCTTTGGGGTGCCAGTGCCATTTCTCACCCTCGAAGGGCACTGTCGCCACCAGGTGTTTCGATGGTGCTTCGATGGTCGCCCGTTCTCCGCCCACCGAAGCTGGTCTCGACCCTTCTCTGCCAAGCTCAGCAGAGAACCCCTTCGACCCATTGGGTTGAAACCTGGTGAAAACCTGGTGAACACGCCCAGTCTCACAGATAGAGAAGGCTTGGGGGCCATACAGGGCGGCAGCCTTACTGTGACGGTAAGATTTGATGGTCCTGTTGGGAGTGTTTGCTACTTGCATCCAGATCAATGAACGGTTTGGCCAAGTCCTGTGGTGACCAGCTCATTCCACCCTTGATGACCGAAGAGACCGACGTTTGATGGGGGTCATGTTGATGAATCAAATCCTCCCATTTAGATTGGAAAACTTCCTCATATGAGAGGGTTGAAATATCATCAAGTGTCGTTTTACACTCCAAAAACCCTCTCTCCCTCCAAATGCTTGGGGCATCTTGGGGCCCTTGGGGCCCTTGGGTACCTTTATTCATCAACGGTCCAAAGTCGGACCAGACGCCAGGGCACCTCGTCGAGAAGGCTTTGCAGTTGGAGGGCCTCGTGGAGCTTCACATCGATGGTGATGGTTTCAAGACAAGGACACAACAGGGTCAATAGTAGGAAGGAGGCTCTTGAAGGACCTTTGGTGGTTCACCATTGTTTGATGTTGGTTTCCATGTGGACAAAAGTGCGGGATACTCCTTCTTTGAGACTTTCATGCCTTGCACGCTTGCACGGATACTGTCCACATGTTGTGCCGTGTGCTGCAGTGCATGCAAGTCCCAGGCGCACAGTCTGCACCCTAGGTGACGCTTTGCTTTAGGAAAACTCTGGTTGCAAGAGTCACAATTCCAGCTGTAGCCTTCCTGCTCAACAAGCGGGCTCATCAAGTGATCTCCAAGAGTGAAGCTACTTCTCTGGAGGTACCCTCTGGAAAACCAGGCTCAAAAGCATCACGGTGCGTCCTCGAATGGATGCACTGGAATCGGCTCTGACGCCATGACAGACCTTGCGGAACGTCTTCATGAAGTGAACACTGGACATCGGCGAGCCGCTGACATCGCTCGGCGACCGAGGTGAGACGACCGGAGCGACGAGCGAACTGGCGACCCCCAGCGCCTGGCTCAAGATCCCGACCACCGCCGCCAAGGCCTCCTGAGAAGGGGACGACTTGGCGCAGTCGAAGCTTGGAAGTGCGGTCGAAGTACCCATGGTGAGCCAAAACAAAAAAGAAACACATCGTAGAAAAAAAACACTGAGGGAAGTCCCGAACAAACAAACAAACAAACAAACATGTTACAAACAAAAATCTGGCCCCATTTCCCAGAGGCCATCTTGGAAGACACACCCATATCTACACCCACCTTCTTGGCCCATGTTGGGCGGCCCGCTGGTCACCAGTCCATCCTTGTTGGGTCTCGACCCCGACCCTGGCCGACTGAAAAGCCCTCCAAATGATCAACAAAACGATGTACCAGGACCTCCTATGGGGTCCCTATGGGGTGTCGAAATCAGAGCCCCCCCCCCCGCAGAGGTTGTAACCTCTGACTGACTTCCCACATTTGACACGGAGGAAGTGGATGGCATGGGACCCTGGAAGGCCGTCCTCTACAAACAGGGGGGGCCATCCACTTCCATGTGAGTGACTCAAAGTGTATACAATGGTAGACCTATGAACCACCCCTTAGGGGGGGCCCTGAGAGTGAAAACAAAGATCTGCGACCCGAACAATACCAGAAAGGGATGAGGATGGATGAGGGCGCGATCTCCAAATGGATCGCCTGAGGTTTATCAGATGCTTCCTCAGGCTGAGCAGTTTTTAGGAACCAACATCTGCGGCTTCCGATACTCTGCAAATACAGTAACTATGGTTTGTTTATTTTGTAGACAGAGGCACCACTGATAATCGTCTGTCTCCACTTTCCAGAACTCCGAAAAGCACGTCTGACCCTGCTCCACTTCTAGTCAAGTCCTCTTGTTTTGTTTCGCACCCAACTCCAACGTCATTAAGAAACAACGTCCCAACTCCAAGACTTCGCTGCTTCGGAGTGCTTTCATCATCATCTCTTTCAGATCGACCTACTTCGCTGCCTTCGGTCCAGGTCCGTGGTCCGCCCGGCCTGGGATTCCTGCGCCCCGTCCAGGAAGGACTTCACCTCGATCCCGGCGCGCAGGCAAAAGCGCGCGCGGGGAGACCTCCCCGGTGAAGCGCACGCCGACCCCGGCTCGGCCGGGGGCCCACATGGGGTGGATGGACCGACCCGGAGCGGATGGACCTTCCCCACCTGGCAGTGAGGATTAGTGGTACCTGGAGTAATTAGATGTTCCACCAACCACCACAAAGGGACCCCACGGTGGAAGCGATGGCCATCGCCTTCGCCTTGAACAAGCAAACCAATTTGCACCAGAATTCTGGCAAAATTGTTTTATCTTTGCGATTCGAGGTAGGAAATCGGATTATTGTTATGGTTGAAGAGAGATGGTGCATCACCAAAAAGGAGTTTCTACTATTAAGTCATGATATGTCATGATAGGCATCTTTCTTCCTGTTTCTTCCAAGCCATTTCTGGTCTTCTGCTTTTCCTTCTCGGCGACCGCACCAGGCACTGCATGAGGCAACTCCTCTGCGCAGAGAAGATCTGCTCCAGCCCAGTCGCGAGCTGCATCTGAGTAGCGCGGAAGGAAGGTGGTGAGATCCGCGTCAGGACCCGAACGGGAACCCTTTTCAGGGGCATGGCATGACCTAAGAACACGCTACTAAACAGCTTGAGGGTGACAATACCGGCAGGTTCCAACCCATCCCCTGGTGTTTTTCACAGGAGCTTCAGCCGTGATTCAAGGGTTAGAGGCTTCTCCCTTCTTGCCCGAGCCCGGATGTTCTCTACCAAACATCACCATCCCCACCAGTTTCCCCCCAAAACCATCCAAAACCTACGTGCCAACATGTGCCATTCACATGCCTCTCCATCACCTCGAAAGTGACTGTCCTCCTTGGCCCACCTTCGCCTCCATGCGCCGGAACTCCGAAGCGATCACGTCCAGCAACAAATACCGGTGCAGCCTGACCGGCGTGGCGGTGCACGACGCACGACCCCCGCTGCCACGACCGAGGACGTCATCGCGAGGGTCGCGGGTCTGACCACCCGACCCTTGGAATCCCGTTGGAGACAATCCATGTGGACGTCCAAAGCATCCAAAGCGTAGACACGCGTCCGCTCATGCACGATCACTATCGTGCAGTTGCCGAAAGCAGAATCCTTGCCAGATCACCATGTGAGGTTGCCTTTGCAAAAGTCACTCTATAATGACCCTTCCCTCTAATTACCATCTTTTGGTGAGCTGGGGAGGGGGAATCTACTCTCTTCAATGGATCGTTCGGGAGATCCCGCAACGATGCGCCCCGCGCGAGGGACCCGATCTGGTCACAACGCATCCGGCGAGGGACTGACCCGGTCGCAGTATGGCTGCCATCCCGAGAGATCCTCGAAGTAGAGGAACATATACCCTTTAAAAGAATGACGTGAACAGGGCTGGCATAGTGGTTGACCTACATTAGGCCGGCCAAAATTACATCAACCACCCCAACGTTACAAATACAAAAAATCTTTTGGAGTGTTTGGGAACTCGAAAATCTGTCTTCGAAGTAGCGAGACTCCACAACCCCCGGTAAGTGAGAAGCGCACGCCATGCACGCAAACCTTTTCAATCCTTTTCATGCTGCCGTGATTCGCTCGTGTTTTTTGGCGCATCAAACCTACACCAAGTCAACTTGAGGCATTTCATCGGTTTGAGAGTCTTTCATTCAGTGTTTCCCAAAAACTTTACCTGACTTGCCCAACCGGGAAAGTCTGCCGCTCATCCCGTGTTCTGCCCCACCGCTCCGCCGCGGCGTCGCCTCGGATCCACCGCGCCCCGCCCGTTCGGTGCCGCTGCTCTCCAAGTCGCGTGCCGGCGAAGTGGTGAAGCCGCTGCCGGACGGCCGCCACGAGGCGCCTTGTCCATCCGGTCGTTCCCGGTGGAGCGGGTTCCGGTGGAGCGGAGCCGATGGGAAGGACCGGGCACGACGGCGACTGGGCACGATGACTGCAGGGTGCCGGGGAGAGATGGAAGGACCGGTCGGCTTCAAGTTGTTCCTATTTTTGGCGGCTGACTCAATGTCTGTGGATGGGTTTCTGTGTAGCACAAATGCTGCACAACGACCGGTGCTTGGTCGCTGATGGTCGCTAGCTGCTACGTGAATTCGGTGCTGGCAACTGGAGAACCTAGTCCACTTCTTCCATCTTGGAAGCCTCATCCGCAGCTCCCTCGACCTCCTAACGGGGCAGCATAGACATGGCACTCTGCCTAAACCATCATGACCTGGTGTCAAAGGATGCCAGAATATCAAAGCTGGCCTTTGTGGTCATCAAGGTTGGATGCATGCCCTTGCAAAAACTCAGGATGAAAGCTTCAAGTGGAACTTGAGAAGGAAAGGCTACCTTTGCTAAATGTTAGCTATAGATTACTATAGATCTTACTTAATCAAATGATATCAAATGCATTCAAATGCAATGTTTCCTCAATCCTCTCCTCAAGAGGGGGCAGATCATCGTCATCGCCCAAGCCCTCATCATCATCGTCGATGCTCAGGCCGAGCTTGATCATGCGGTGAATGCGGCCGGCGAACTGGGTGGGCTCATCCAGGTTGAAACCAGATGTCAAAAGCGAAGTATCGAAGAGCAACCAAATCAAATCCTTCACAGTCTTGTCGGACTTGTCCGCGGCTGCCTTCTTCTTCAACTCAGCCATGATGGAGTGCTTGGGATTCACTTCCATGGTCTTCTTAGAGACCATGTAGGAGGTCATGGAGCTGTCGCGAAGAGCCTGTGCCTTCATGATGCGCTCCATGTTGGCTGACCAGCCATACTCAGAGGTTGTCAACACGCAAGGGGAGTCGGCCATGCGGGAAGAAATGATGACCTTCTCCACCTTGTCTCCCAAGACCTCCTTCATGAGCTTTGTCAGTGGCTCAAACTCAGCCTTCAGCTCCTCAATCTTCTTCCTTACGATTAGCTTCAAACACCCAACGGAGGAACAAGAATGAAATTGCCAGGACCTTTTAAGAAGTCCCCAATTGCCTACCCTAATAGTGATCACTTCTCTACAGTAATCATGTGGCTTCGATATGCCTCCCCTTCAGCACTCTTGCCCCCCCCTTCCGGGTGGCCCCTGCCATAGGGAGGGGCCATGCTCCGTTCCCCAGGCCATGCTCCGTATCCTCCATTCCCTCGACCCCGCCGCTCGACCCACCCGCCGCTTCCTCTTCCCCGAACCGTTCCCCCTCGGCGTTGTTCAACGAGGGCGTCTTCTCGTCCTCGTCATCGATGTCCAAGCCTCGGTGTGGGAAAAACACGGCGCTTTCCGTTTCGGCGTTTCCTTCGGTCTACGGCGCCGGAACTCCGCGGTTTTCGTGGTGCCCTTTTTATGCGAAGAGAGCGGCATGAAACAAAGCCGCGCGGGTGGGGGGGGGGGACCCGTGTCTGTTGCGCACGCACTGTCTTGGATTCTGTGGATGCTCGACGGCTGGGCTATGGCGTTGATGTGCCAAACGTATCTGCAACATCCCAAAATCCCGGATTCAATTGGTCCAGCGAGCTTTTCAAGGGGTGCCGTCACCTGTAAAAAGCTGTCTACTTCCAGTTTCAACTCGAAAGTCTCCTGACAGCCAGCATTCTGGGTGCCTTCTCCTTCTCAAAATCTCTCCTTCGAGAGTGATCTTTCTTTCGAACAGCTGAGGCTGAGACCTTCTTTGGTCGTACTCTTCAACTTCTTGCCTTGAAATATGCGCACCAATTTCACTGCTCCAGACCGAGGAAAAGGACGGAAATGCCTTTTGACATGACAAAAATAGGACTGAGTGTCATTGGGAGATCCTTGGTCGATGTGTCCTATGAAGCAATGCTCAGGGAAATGGCAGTCTTCACATACAACATCATACAACCATGCCAAGTCGCCATCGAACTCCTTGAGCTGCTGGGTGGCATACTCGTCAATGGGGTCAATCATGTACAGCACCTCAATGCCCTTCTTGCGCAAGGTCTCGAGGAAGGGTGAGGAAGACACTGCTGCAATGCTCTCACCTGTGATGTAGTAGATGTCATTCTGTCCCTCCTTCATGCGGTCCACATACTCTTTGAGGCTGATCTGCTCATCGCCAGACTTGGAGGTGTGGTAGCGAAGGAGTTCAGCTACCTTCGTTCGGTTGGTGGAGTCTTCATGCACTCCAAGCTTGAGGCACTTGCCGAACTGCTCGTAGAACTTCTTGTAGTCGTCCTTCTTCTCGGCAATCTCGGCGAACATCTCCAAGCACTTCTTCACCAAGTTCTTCTTGATCACTCGCAGGATCTTGTTCTGCTGAAGGGTCTCGCGAGAGATGTTCAAAGGCAAGTCCTCAGAGTCCACAACACCCTTCACGAAGTTCAGCCACTCTGGCATCAACTCCTCACAGTCATCCATGATGAAAACACGGCGCACGTAGAGCTTGATGTTGTTGCGCTTCCTTAGCTGAGTGCCCAAGCTTCAAGAAGATAGTGTTGTTTCCCACTACAAATTGCAACAAACCAGCAACGCAATAAGAAGTTCAAAGTGTTTTCACTTGTCAGTGAGTTTCTTCTTGGTCTCAAAGAGGTCGAAAGGAGCCCGGCGAGGCACAAACAGCAGCGCACGGAACTCCAGTTGGCCTTCAACGCTGAAGTGCTTGACAGCCAAGTGATCCTCCCAGTCATTGGACAAAGACTTGTAGAAGCTTGCATACTCTTCGTTGGTCACATCCTCAGACTTACGCATCCACAAGGGCTTGTTCTTGTTGAGCTGCTCCCACTCATGGGACACCTCCTTGACCTGTTTGCAAAGAATTGCAATTTCGTTGTCTGTCAAGTTGGCATGAAGACAGGTAGACAGTGTTTGACGATCATTTTCAATTATCTGCATGCGCGCACAAGCCCAAAACCTACTTGCGGCTGCTGTGAGTTAAGTTTGTTAGAATTTAGAAGATCTGTGTCAGCTACACAAACCCAGGTCCTTCTTCGTTTTCTTCTTCTTCTCCTCCTTCTCCTTCTCCTCATCGACCTCCTCGATCTTGGGCTCGTCACCTTCTTCCTTCTTCTCCTCTTCACCCTCATCCTCGCTGTCGGTGACCTCCTTCTCCTTGCTCTTCTCGACATAGAGCTCAATTGGGAAGCCGATAAACTCGGAGTGCTTCTTCACCAAGTCCTTCAGGCGGCGCTCCTCCAAGAACTCGGATTGGTCCTCTTTGAGGTAGCAAATGATTTTCGTGCCACGCTTGATCTCACCATGCACAAGCTCAGTGTCCTTCTGCACAGTGAAGGAGCCACCCGCTCCTGACTCCTCACTTGGCCAAAGAACCTCCTTTGGTGAAGAAGCAAAAGAGGTCGAAAGGACAGCCATTTGATGTCCTTTAGATTGGGGTCCATATATAGACAAGCTTTTGGGATTGTGCCATCCACAATCTAAAAACCACTACAGACCGTCCTTCTTTTCGTGGCCAACCCTGAAGAACATGCACGGGTTCTTCAAAAGTCAACAATGTCACATTCTTGGCCAACTCAATGAGGTGAACCCCCGGCTAGGGGCGGCTACTGAACATGAATCTCAACGGGTTAAAGGGACTTAAAGGGCCAGTCTTCGCAAACTAAGGTTCCCAAATGTACTGCTCATCGTCATTGTGCTTGCTCACAACGCGAACCTTGTCTGACACAAGGTATGCGCTGTAGAAGCCGACACCGAACCTGGGATTGGCGAGGGGAAGCTGATACAAATGGAAAGAACACTAAGACAATTATATCGTTTCAAAACGATAACATGCCACACTATGTAAAATCCAAGCAACTGGCCAATCATGGAGATGTCACCCCCAGCGGCCATGGCCTCCATAAAAGCCTTGGTGCCTGACTTAGCAATGGTGCCCAAGTTGTTGATGAGTTCATTTTTGGTCATGCCAATGCCCGAGTCCTCGATGGTCAAGGTCGAGTTCGTCTTGTCCGGCACGATCCTGGGGTGTTTTCAAATCAAAAGCAACTCCCCAGACTCACGGGAAGAGGGGGAAAATTGATCAACATCCCAACCATGTGGGGGTCTCTCTAGTCTGATGCATGCCCAATTGCATTCTCCTTTTAGCATGTTTTTAGCCAAGTGTCTTAATGAAGAAATTCGGCTGGGCCTGCGCGTCATGGTCATGGTCATGGCCAGTGATGCCAACCCCAACATGGGCCGCTCGGACGGACGGCGAAGGGGTCCTGGTGATCCAAACGAAGGTGACGGCTGGTAGGTGAGTTGGTTGAGGGATGAGTTCTGAGTCAATGGTTGGTGAGAGTAAATAATCTGAATGTAAGAGTTGATGATCTGAATCTGGGCGTTGGTGATTGAAATGTTGATGCCGTTTTGTTTGAGTAGTGGAATCCCCCACTCCATTTGTATTTGAGGTGGAATCGAAAGGGTTTCTAACACGTTGCGGGAAACGGTCGGCCTGCGACTTTCCGACCCTGCGAGAAGCGGAAAAACGGAAGCGTTGTCCATCAATCGTATGAGTTGTTGTTCTTGGTGTTGTTGGTGATTCACGTGTTAGTGATGTGCGGGCTTGACTGTGAAGAGGAGGAAAGCAGGAGGCCGAGCAAGAGAAATTGGCCGTATGGGAACTAAAACAAAAAAAACAGTTGGGCCTCGATCTTGTCTGGGTCAGTGATAGACTCGTAGCGGATCTTGTCCAAGGCATCCGAGGCATTGGAGATCAACTCTCGCAAGAAGATCTCCTTGTTGGAGTAGAAGGTGTTGATAATCCTTTGCACACAGGAAAATCAGAAGCGAAACCACACAGCCGCAACGACAACCACAACTACAGCAGCGACGGAAAACTTGGAGCACCACCACCACCGAAACAACAGCAACAACAACAACAAGGTAAACGAAAACACAATGACCCCGCAAGTAGCTCTTGATTCATCAATATTGAAGAACCTATTACAAAGGACCCGTTGTTGTTGGGACACGCTCTCAATGACAATTTGTGTGGGCCCATATCCATGTCAAGCACACTGGCTCCGTGAAGCATCTAGCACTACCAGTTTATACTCAGCTGGGTTTGCATCCACGAGTTTCAGGTGAATGCCAATAGAACTCTGCTGTCAGAAAATTTGCTTCTGTCACAACTGCATCTCCTTTGGCGTGCCATGTTCGAAGCCTGAGCCGCACCTGCTTGGTATCGAAATCTTCCAGTTTCAGGCACTGAGCCAGAAAAAGCAAGCAATTGTTACCGACACTTGGTGAAGTTCCAGGAGAATAACGTTCATCGTTGACAACGACAAAACCATCATACAGAGCATTGAGTCATATGGGTTGAGGCACAAATCATATGGGTCAGTACCATCCCTGTGTTGCACACGGCGTCCATGACGATGATGAGGGCATGTTGACTTTGCAATCGAGCAACCAGGCGTGCCACAAGCGCAACGAAATACCCAGCTACTTTCAAGAGTATGACAGTTCGGACACTCTCCAACTTCTGGCGGTTCGGCTATCTTTTCCTCGTCTGATTCATAATCTAACAGCGAACGCTGTTGGGCCGACAGCGTTCCCTTTTCTATAGATGCTATGCTTCTTGCATCGTCTGTGGCAGGAGGCAAAGGCTGTGGATCGCTTGGCTGCTCATCGGCTGCTTCGACTCGACCACTGGGTCTTCTAGCATCACAAGTCACAAGGGGATTACCAGCTGTCTCGGACATACATACATTCACTTTTGGCCGCAACCGGTTCGCCGGGCTCCATCCCTAAAGTCATTCGCCTCCACTGAGCACTGCAAACATGCAGCGGCCACCCCCCTATAGAGCAACCATGGGGGCTTTGATATCCTCTGAAAGAAACAGAACTTGCCACACCAAAGGCTGAATTCCCCATGTGACTCACTGAGTTTAGGACAGTCAAGTTCGCCACAGAACTGCAACCCTGAAAGGCATCATTCCCAATGTGGGTCACTGAGTTGAATTCAAGAGCTGCAAGCAGCAAGGGAAATCCAGCTTGTGTAACAACAACAACAACAACAACAACAACAACAAGGTACAAACCAAAACTGCAGCCCCACTACCAGTACCAGTACCAGTACAACTATATCGACGACGACCGGCGGCGGCGAGCACGACCAGGACGAACAACATGTGTTCCCCTAATCATGAGGGTGTCTGTATCAAGTTATGCTGGTAGCTAGCACGTTGCCCAATTCGACCATTTTACTCCTAAAGTGTCCTTGAAGTCGGTGGCGGTAAGCAGCAACAACCATCCCCGCAAAACAGTGGCACAGGGTACAGCCACATGGCACTAAGGTCGCATCACACCACATCCTATCTGGGTGATTGACACATCCCTTCCTCTGTCTTTCCTCTTTCTTCTCTGCCACCCTCACTCGCGTCCTATCTTCTGTCTTTCCGTCCAAGTTTTCCTGCCTGGTGGCTCTCTATCCACCTCCCTACCTACGTGCATCTTTCATTGCTACAGCGAAACAATCAAGAAACCTACAGGCTAACCACCTTCTGGCAAATCTTAATGATTTGGTAAAAACAAAGGCATTCGTGCCAAAGATGTGGAGAAAGTCGTTTCAGCTGGCATCAAGGGTCAAGCTCATCAACTGCTGAATGTCAGCATTGAAGGCGAAGGTCTCCGCCATTGCTGGAAGAGGACGGGCGAATTGTTTCACTTCTCAAAACTTGGGAGCTGAATAGTCCTGAGCAGAACAAGGCAATGAATGGCAACGGTCGTCTGGCAACGGTCGTCTGAGTGGATCACATCGTCAGGCACAGTCGTTTCTTTCAGTTGGCAACAGCTTGCCAATCAGCGATGGGACAGGGTGTATGAGAATGCATGGCCGTGGGTTGTGGCACCGGGGCGACCCTGGTTGTTCCCATCAAAGAACAGAAAACCACGACCTATAGGAGGTCAACCTACCAGGGATTGGGGCTGATTTTGACCCACAGCAAATTCCTTCGCGTACGAATTCGGTGCAAAAGTTCGTCCATAGCTTGAGGGGAGAGTACTGAGTGTACCCCCAACAGCACCAGACTCCACTCGAACCAGTCAATGTCCATTTCCACAGCTTGATCTACGTACACCCCTTGTCGAGGTGGTGTCTAGGGCTGCTTGTTCGGCCGGCCTTGACCCCTCACCACCTCGGGTGCCTCTGCTATGGACGGTCCCTGCGGGACGGTCCGTCCCCCTTCGCAGGTCCCGGGCGTCCCGGCATCTCCAGACCTGCACGTCGCAGGCGTGGCGGCGCCGTCCGAGCCGGCGCCGAGACGAAGGGCGTGGACGGAGGGCGGCGCGACTGAGCGGACCGGTGGAAAGCGAGGGCCCAAGCAAAGCACGGAGGACGAACTGGGACCCGTGGAACGAACTGGGACCCTTGGAACTGACAGGTTGATGAATCTGTGTCAACCCCCCTCCCGAATGAAAAGCTTTGAGGGTCCAAGTGAGAGCCTGAAAATTGTTGTTGAAAATCAAGAGTCTACATTAGCCCGCTCGGGTGACGGCTTTTGGGTCATAGATATTTAATATAATATAATATAATATATTTAATATAATATAGTATAATGTAATATATATAATATAATATAATATCATATAATATAATATAATATGTGGTCATATGATCCTTTTAGAGATTGTTCTGCAATCTTCTGTATCTCATGCCAACGATGCGGCAGTTGATCCCGACTTGGGATGAGAACTTGGTGAAAGGCTCTGAGTGCGACGACGTCGACCTCTGGACTGTGCGTGGACCGTGGACCTGACCATTATATGGGTCTCTCATCGGTCGTATGCATAGACCTGTGGGAGGCCAAAGGAGCAATCACGAAATGAGGGGCCATGGGAAACCTGGATGACAAAGGCCCGTCTCTCATGTATCTGCGAGGTATCGATCTGCAAGCAGGTGCTGGCTGCCTGTGATTGGTGCCATAATATGAATATATAATATATAACTTGCCGCATGGAGGTCCAGTCCATCGCGTGGCAGAGCTTGGGTCCCGTCTCAGCCAACAAAGTGTCAATCTTCAGAAATAAGCGCACACAGGCTAACGTGTCGGATATGCTGCAGGGACATGCTGTGGGCTGACATCACAAGGATCCGAACTGGCCTGCGGCCTGACATCACAAAATCAGAGGAAGGGTCGGGAAGAGCACACCGAGCAGCCCCCAGGATTTCACTGCATGCTTCGCACGTGTCTTCTCGCAGTCCGTCCGTTGCCTACTTGTCTTCTCGCAGCCCGTCCGTTGCCTAGGGTAGCAGTGGTTGATGGCCGCAACGACAAGAAGAACCTCGGGTGCCAACAAGATCTGGGAGGAGCGAATTGGATGTTGTTCCCAATGGCAGCAAGAGAAACAAATTGACATGCACCAACACAACTGACACTACACTCCCTTCCACAAACATGGAAGTGGATGGCAACCCCTGTTTTCAAAAGAGTTGGTGGTCTTTAGTCTTCCAGCAGTCCCTTTCCAACAAGTCTTCGAAGAAACGCATCTGGCCGAAAAAACGCACACCGGCCCGCTGTCCACACCGCCCACATGGCGTTTTTCGGAGACCGACCCTGTGTCCCCCGGCCAACTGGACTTGAGACCTTCGAGCACGTGATTCACCAAAGCAACGAGGCGAAACAGCCTGGTGGGCTTGGCGAGTTTCTGACGGCTTCGTCGTGAGTTTTAGCCCGCGATCTGAGTTGCGTCGTTTTCGCAGCACCGGGAATGGTCTAGGTGGTAGAAAGCGGTGTTTCACAGGTTCTGCGCTATTTTTTTGCGGGGGCGCAAAGGGTAGGGTCGGGGCCACGACCTGCTTTGCTGCTTGGACGTCAAAAGTCAAACAAAAACGTAAACACAAATGTTATATAAAAAATAGAATGGGGACATATGGGGACCGAGAAAAAGCAATCCTCCAGTTGTTCATGTTCCTTTTGACATGTAACATGGTATGAAGTCGTGCACAATATCTGTACAAATGACCTCGGTGGACTCTCCAGGCCATCAACGGCGACAGCAGTTCCATGCATTTCGCATCGCAGTTCATGCCAATTCGGAGTCCCAGTGGACGAGGGTTGGAGTCCCAGTGGTCCGATCAAGTCGATGTGTGTCTAGGACCTAGGAACTTCGGTGGGCGCCACGAGTCGAACTAGACCGACCGGATGGGCGACATGCGAACCGACGCTGAAGGTATCAACACGTACTTCATCTTGGGCCAACGGAACCCAATTCCTGATCCACTGGTGTCCTTCGATTCGGTGTCCCTCTTGGTCTGTTTTTGGTGAGACCACTAGGGTCGGCAACCAGGGTCCACCAGGGTCACCCAGTCCACCAGGTTTCACATCTTGACACAAGACCTATAGATCTGCGTGCGCCGTTTTAGAGGCCCCCCTCAATTGCGATTGCCGCCGGATGTCCCATTGCAAAACGAGAAGGGCTGTGCGACCATGCCCGCTTCTCCGACACTCGCGACCCAGTCGCCTGGAATATTGCAACATGATGGGCTCCTCGAAGAAGAGGCTCATGGGAAAGTCCAGCTTCAGGCTAAAACTGGCCAAGCGCCGAGCATCAGCTCTCGCTGATGCTTCTCGCAGTGGGTTTCTGTGTGTGTGTGTGTGTGCCAGTTGATACTCTGGGCTTTGAGGTTTCGGGTTGATGCTCCACATTTAAAAACCACACACACATACCAGCACCTCACTGCCAGGTCACCAACAGGTCAACCTGTATTCGGGCCCAACACCCAAACCTCCAGCCATCGGAGACTTGGTTTCGGTGCGACGTCAGACCGCCGGTTCACCGAAACGACGGTCAGTCAGCAGCGACTGGCCCGGTCGCACCTGATGCCGTCCAGAAAGCGTACGGGCCCATGTCCTGGACCGGAACCGACCGCACCCGGGGGGGACGCCAGTGGCGCAACGGCGCTCCAAATGGGCCAACCCGGTGGGCCTTCGGACCCGGCCACAGAGTGAACGGAGTTTGGTCGTCAAACAAGGACAAAAAACCAGACATGAACTCAAGGGTGGTTGGAAGTCCAAGGTTCAGTTTGGTGGTGCAAGCGATTCCATTGACTCAATGACCGTCGTTTCTGGGTACGTGTCTTCTGTCCAAAACTGGTTCAAAAGGAAAGCAGCTAGGGGATGCTTTTCGGCCATGGCTGTGTTTCTTCCTTTCCATCCCAGCCAACCATGGCTATCCCAACCCGATGCCACCACCAACCCGATGCCCCGGTCGCACCGAAGCGGTGCCGCGGTCCCACCGGTCGGTCATGGCAGGAAGAGAAGCACGGGAGGCCTTCCTCTCCAACCAAAGTCGCGCTTCCGGCTGCTGCAAGGAGGAACAGTAATACTGCAAAAAAAAGGAGATGAGGGGTAGCAGCAACCGGTGCCAACTGTCTAAAAACTGGTGTTCAATCCCTAACTCTCTAACACCATCTAACGCCTGGCTTTCGGGTAGGTGTACCCTCTCATTTTCATGCTGAGAGCAGTGTGGAAGTCTCCCAAAACCCCGGTGCCTGCGTCGTTTTTGTCGAAGGGCATTCCCAGTGTATTCCTACTCTCTGCTCAACACAAAAGACTGTTTTGGAGGAGGAGAGGGTGGAAAGTGTTTTGGGTGGGGGTAGAGGGGGTTCTGGAGGTTCTGGGGGTGGAGATCAAGGTACATCGTTCACCCTCTTCAAAACTCTTCATTTCCCCATCCCCACGACGGTCCTAGGGGAGATGGTGATGTCGCCAAATGCAACGACAGACCGCTGAGGAAGGCTTCCTCCTCCCCCGACAGAGGGACCAACGATTGGAAGAGGCCGTTTAGAGCCTGCCGCGCCGAGAAAGGTGCAGCCAGGATGTGCCAGGATGATGTTCTGCTAGGTATTGGGGTGACCTTGCAGACTGTGAGCCTAAAACTTCGAGGTGCTACCTCCACAATCAGTGGGCCCTTTCCCACATCCATCGATCCAAGTCTTCACTTCAGGAGGGTTTGTCCCAAAGAGTTTTCTGATATGAACGAGGAGCTGAACTTGTTGATGGCAAAAGGACATCCTCCCACACTAAAGGATAATAATATGTGATCATGTGATAATTTGTTTGTAACAGTGTAAGAATGTATAAGCTGTGATACACCCTTCCAACAAAAACTGGGCTCTGGAGATGTTACTAGTAGCCCATAGCTGCCATAGCTCTGACAATCTCTTGACCAAGATCTCTCGCGGAGGGGGGGGGGTCACTTCTCTGGATTTGTGCAAACCGAGAAACTCGGTGGGTGCCTTCAAGAGCCACGACTTTATTTTGAGCACTCCGGTTTGGAATCAGACATCCGGCCAAACAATCTTCAATATTCCCCAAAGAGCACCACATGATGCCCTTGTCGGCCTTTATTCGACACACCAGTCCTGTGAATTTGGACACCACTACTGCAGAGAAGTATACATACAAGCATTCTCAAAGGCAAGACTGGAACCTTCTAGAACTGGGCATCTTCATTCTGCTGAGGGTTTTCCCCCTGAACTACCTGTCCTGATGGTCCAAGGAAAGATTTCACAAGTCACTTGGACTCGCTGATCAAGGTACCTGGGAAGAAAAAGAACTCTTTTTCAGATCAACCCTCTGGACACATCGGCCGAACCATAAAATCCAGCTCCAAAGCCAGACCATCGAACATTGGAGACCAGAAAAAGAAAATACCTACATGGATGGGTCATGTCTGTACAGAGGTAAGTACCTACTGTACTACACATCAACTGTAAGTACCTACTGGGTCATGAGCACATGGAGTAGATGTATGATAAATGCAACTCCAGCCCTGGAGTGTCTGGGATCCCGGAATCCAACGCACCGTGCTATGGGCACCCCGCCGCTTCGGTGCGCTGGAGCTCGGCCTGTCCAGGGTCGTCCGGTGTCGGTCTCCTGTCGGTCCACAGAATCGAAACGTCCCATGAAGTCCATCGGCCGGGTCTCCCCACTCGACTGGGTCGGTGGGTCGGTGGGGGCCGGGGTTCTTCCAAGATCGCTTCCAGAACAGCCCAGTCTCGCCCCAGAACACGAAAGCCCACCGGCCTGGTCTCCGTTCGCCCCGGGCACAGGGCCAGAACCGGCCATGCGCGCCAAAGACAACGCCTGGTTGGGAGAAGAACCGCTCGCAGAATGATTTGATACACCTTTAGATCGTCCGGGTCCAAGGAGATTCATAGATCCCCTTCTCTGAAGAAGCCTTTGCATGATCATAATCATCATAATCCCCTTCTCTGGCATAGATCCCCTGAAGGTAGGGACCTGTCATGCGCCTTCCCTGCAGGTTAGAGCCGGATTCGGAAACTAATCGGTCGGATTCTGAAACTAGGGTTCTGAAACTGGGGTTCTGAAACTAGGGTTCTGAAACTTGGATTCTGAAACTGGTATTCTGAAACTGGAAAGTCAGATTCTGCAACTGGTATTCTGAAACTGGAAAGTCAGATTCTGCAACTTGCCTTCTGAAACTTGCAACTGGTGATCTCCACATCATGCGATAGCGTGTGTGCCTGTGACATCACCTTCGAAGCACATCCAAACCAACGTCATTAGCCCCCCACCCAACCCCCCCACCCCCCAACCCCCCCTTGTCCCCATCGTGTGATCTTGACACCCCTCATCATTCACAAAGTTGCGGAATCCTAGTGAGGGGGTCCACAATGTTGCGGAATCCTAGTTGCGGAACGCCAGTTGCGGAATCCCAGTTGCAGAATCCTAGTTGCGGAATCTTGACAGTTGCGGAATCCTAGTTTCGGAATCCTAGTTGCGGAATCCTAGTTGCGGAATTCTAGTTGCGGAATCCTAGTTGCGGAATCCAGTTTCGGAATCCCAGTTGCGGAATCCCAGTTGCGGAATCCGACCAAACAGTTGCGGAATCCTAGTTGCGGAATCCTAGTTGCGGAATCCTGCGCAGTTGCGGAACTCGACTTTATCCCTTCCCTGCAGGTAGATCCCCCTTCTCTGTGGCAGGATGTTGATCCACCAGACAAAATGGCGTCCTCTCGGAGCCAAAACCCGCCGTGCCTCCACCAGGAAGGGCGACAGCAGGCGGCTCTCGCTCATCAGCAACACGCGCCGGAGCCTTGAGGGGTCCAGGTAGTAGTGTAGACGACAAATCAATAAGAACTCACCCAATTTGATTGTAAATCCTATTCAATCTACAGTGTTCAATCCTGTTCATATTGTGGGGGGTCAATTGCCTAATAAACAGTCTACTCATTCACAAGTCCGCGGACAAATCCAAATCCTGGTATATCAGGAATCATGGTCCAAGCAAGGTGTTTGCATCGGAGCCTGAATGTTATTTGTGAATAACCGCGCTTGCCATCTCACCATGAATCCAACACGTGCGAATTCAATTCAATCGTCTCACCAGAATGCTGAGCAGCATGGCAGTGCTCAGCAGTGTGAAGATATGAAAACACCACTGCTGTTTGACAAAAACACCTCAGTGGAGTGTTTCTGCATGTGTCTGCCATGTTTTTCTCCAAACGAGGACCCCAAAATGCTCATCTGACGTGAACCATGTGAACCCACCTGAAAAAGAAAAAGACCCGTGCCAAGACCAGGGTCACAACCCCGCGGGGCCATCGGTTTCTTCGCCCGCTCTTTCTCTCACTCTCATCTCTGGGTTTCGTAGCAGGTCGATGCGTTTCACCAACTTCAGCTGAAACACCTGCGGCCCGGCAGTGCTCGATCCGCCGAGCGCTGCGCTTCGATCCGCGCGGATCGATAGGCGCTTGCTTCGCCGGGGTAGACCGGAGCAGCTCGGGGTAGACACGCGGCTTCATGGTTCACGCGGAGTGTTCCATGCCCGGTTTTGGGAAGGACCCTGAAACATGTGAGAAGAAAACTGCCAGGACCTTCCACTGGTGACCTTTTTTGAGGATTGGCAAGTGACCTTTTCTAGGCCTAAGTGACCTCATTCTGAGAATCTCAAAAGGTCACTGGGAACGTCCTGGTGGGCTCTCATGTTTAAAGCCTTGGTCTTTTCCGTGAAAGGTCATGATCCAAGTGCTGAGGCCCTGTTCGACCACCTTCGCCACGCGCCTGTTCGACCACCTTCGCGTCCACCCTTAGCGACGGTGTGCAGCGCTGAGTGGAAGGTGCAACCTGGTCTCCTTGATATCCGAGGGGAACGTGTTCGCTGATGTCGTGATCCTCAGAATTCCCCCAGAATACGACGTCGTGACTCATCAAAGGTCTGAAACCCCTTTGCAGCAGTGGATGCATGTTCTCTTTCCTTCGATTCTTCGCTTACGGTTTGCAACACGAGGAAAAAGAGAAGGAAAAACATCGAATACGCCACTTGGCCCTGCATGCCGGGCCCAGTGATTCCCAAAAAGACACCGAGTCGAAGAACCGAGTCGCGGAGTCATGAGTCGGGGTGAACCCGCGACTCGGCTGCTGAGTGGATGATGAGTGGATGGGCCGTTTGGCTCAGAAACACCCCCCAACTGCTTTGGCACAGCAACAGGCCCTGGGTGGCAAGGGGAGGCAGGGGCAAGCCCTGGGTCGCAAGGGGGTGTAGCAGGGAGTAGGGAGTCGCAGCGTTCTCCGTTCGCCTTCGGTCCGACCGGGAGGATCGGCTTCAGTCGACTGAGCAGACCTGACACCTGCGGGAGATGAACGGAAACACCCGGACATCTCGTGCGTCTCGCGCAGCACGGAAACGAAGCTCACACCTTGGAAAACCTACCACATCGCATCGGACAGAGTCGACCCGTGTGCCGGAGTCCGAACACGAAACACACAAGTTGTTCTAGGATGTGCACTCTCACTATACACGATGGTTTTTTGACCTTCTTCTCGCTATATATCTGTGACCTAAGCCGCTAGCGCTGATTGATGACTGTACATCGTCTTGAAACAAATGATCCTCCAAGCACCGACTCAAACAGGCAAGTGGACTCAAACTGAGTGGCAGTGCTCATTGATGGTTTTAGTGGCCACTTTGAGAGTTGTTGAGATTGCTGGCTTCATCCGAGCCTTCGATCGACTTCAAGCCCCTGTGTTCCCAGACCATTGGGACTGCTTCCTCAACGGACGGAGCAGGCAGCTCCTGGCTTCGCAGCAAGTGCTTTCAGAGGTCGACAGAGGTCGAGCCGGGGAGAAGGAGACGGACAGAAACAGCTTCCAAACAGTGTTCTAGAAGGATCAATTCACAGTTCTATCTAATGGGGGGGGCACTGTAACTCCATCTATATCCATCTGCGTTCAACATGTATGTTTCGCTGCGGGTCACATATCTTGAAGAACGCACCATACACCTCTGGCATGTTGCACTTGCCAGTGCATCCCTGTCAGCATTCCCGGAGAATCCGGTGGTGAGCCGGATCGGTCGCTGGAGCAGTTGGAGCGACCAAACGACCCCCGGGCGAAACTGGCGCCTGCCAAGGCTTTCAGAAAGAGGGTACACTCGAGACCCAACCCCCGGCATCGGAGTGACCCCCGTTGGAGGGAAGTCGTCTGCCATCCACCTTCCCATGGAATGTGAGTTAGAGTGTAACATGGTGTAGGTCTTTCTCTGCTGAAAAAGGCATGGCTGACTTCCGATCAGAGGTGGTTTGCAGGCTGCGGGGACATGGCATCTGACATCGTGTTCCCATACCAACAGAAACTCAAGAATCATCTTCCGTGTCCAGTTGCAAACTTGAAACAAGCATTCTTAGAGACTCTTCACTTATCTTCCACAAAAATAACCATGCAAAAAGGCGCGCCAGAGCCGGCCCCCTCACCTCATCCTCCCTCCTTGGAGCCCCCGACTCCAGAGCCACCTCCAAGGGTCTGGAGCCCAGTTGCTGGGCCTCCGCCACCGGGCTCCGGGGTTCAACACCCTTGGTTCCGGGTGGGGAGAGAAGAAAGTGGTGGAACCTCCGAAGAGGTCTCCTTGGCCTGAAGAGACGAAGGAGGCAAGACACCACCAAGGCGTCTTGAGCCAGGACACTGTAGGCTCAGGGTCTTTCGGCTCAGGACACTGAGCCTAAGTGACTCCCGGTGAACATCGGTCAGAGGATTTTAGATTTCATATAGTTAGTAGTATAGACTAGTCTGTACCCATGCAGGTAGAAGGTCGAGTCGGCTCTTCACTGGAGAGAATCCAACAGCTTCCAATAGCTTCTTGCTTCAATCCCCAACTCGGTGAACTGATGGCACCCAAGGTACCCGTTCACGTGCCGCTGCATCACGCCTCCGGTCGCTGCATCTCGCCCCCCCCGGCCTCGAGCACATCCGTCGCAATCCGCCAGGAATACGCCGAACGTCGCCCGGTCTCCGGTCTCGCTGCGTCTCCGGTCTCCTCCTGCGGACGGGTTGCCCTGGAGGAGCCAGGCTTGGAAAAGAACAAAGAGGGAAGAGAGAAAGCGATGAACGCCCTCTGTTTAAAGAGGGGTTGCCCTCCTTTTGCTGGAAAGTTGAAGTGATACTTATCTTGATATAGATATATATATATATATGTACGATTTGTTTAATGTCGTGTCTATATTCATAACCGTACTGCATATGCTTTTTACACGTTGTGGTATGTTGTATGAGTTTGGTATGAACATGAGCATGGCTTATTGTATCTGATTGCTTTCGACATGCATGCGAGCCTTGCTTCTGCCACCTTGTTCTCAACATTCACAACAAAATCTGTTCATAACTCACAACCCCACTCTCCACTCTCCCTTCGGGCCCTACGTCCTGGCGCTTCGCCTCAGTCAGCCCTTTGAAGAAGTCGCCCAGATCCACCTCCGCCACCGGCGCCAGGGCCGCCTGCCGCGCCAGCCGCGCACAGCACGCAGCGTAGAGGTGCCGCCGCACCTGCCGCAACACCTGCCGCCACTGTGCCTCTTCAGCCGCCGCGGCCGCACCGGCAGCGGCGGCCGGTCCGGCGGGACCCGGGGCGACCGGAGGGTCGGTCGGGGCGACCGGAGGATCGGTCGGCGCCAGGAGCTCTTGCACTGAGGGCTGGCCAGCTGGGTGGGAAGGGCGGCCAGCAGTCGCGGGTGAAGGATCACCTGAAAGGGTTCCGGGTTGACCAAAAGGTCGTAAGACAAGTGTGGTCCAAACGTCAGGTCCAGACGAGTATGATTGAAGCTGGATGAGACTGTTCAACCCTCCCAATTTGCAATCTCATGCAATCTCTAATGCCTATGCATCGTGCCGCGGATCCTGAACCCCTCATTCCCAGGTTCGTACTCTTCCTGCTGAACCAGCTTCACCCACCCACATCACCTGCTTCAAGAGCGTCATCTTCAACTGGAGAAGCTCCAGAGCCTGCTGAATCACCTGCATCTGACCCATCTGGATCTAGGTTTGGAAGCACTGCGTTCAGGATGGTGTGATCATTCTGATCCTGAGCTGCCTGAGGTGGATCTTCCATCTGATCCTCGGGTTCTTCTGGCTCTTCCAGAGGTGGCTCTTCTGGTCTTGGCTGATCAGCTTCTTCTCGGTGCTCCGGATCTCTCTCCGATGGAACGTCCGATCCTCTTCCCCTTGAGATCTGGTCCTTGGCGTGGAGAGTGGTCTGGGATCGCAGAGGGGATCCGTAGCGGACTCATCCAGTTCTATCAGACCCTAAGAACAAGTTTAGAAACATGGATGAATCCTCAGCTACAAGATAGAGTTATAGGGTACTTCATCCTTGTTTAGATCTATAGTATGTCCTGATGGTGTACTTCAATTAACAGTAGGATGTAAATCCGCGAGAAGGCGGCACCAACGGATGTTCCTGCCGCAATTCGCATGACTCATGCCTCTAGAAGGAGGCTTGACCCACCACCGGACCAGCTGTTCAAAGGCCCTGGAGTGTTGAACATAGAAACCTGTTAATATAAACCACTCATGTAGATCTGTTGATGCATCAAACAGAGGCGCCTACGTACAGTATTGGAAGATGGACTCGCCAAACAACCTCATTCTCCTGATTCCATGGACGACTGCTTTCCTGCAATCTCCTGCAATGTTTGGGGAGGCTGCCGCTTTGCACCAAGATGCCACAGCAAACTCCTCTGCCGTTTCGGCCGTTTCAGCAATGGCTGAAACAGTGAGGCCAGGCCTCACAGGCAACAGGCCAAGAGCAGCCATGAAGAGCTAGCTCCGTTTGCTTCCCAGAGTATATCGTTTCGATCAGTAAGACTCGGCCAACGTCGGCGTTCCTGGTGCATCTTCACGTCCTTGACACCCATTCAAACTAATGTTTCTCCCATTCCGCTTGCAGGGCTGAGTCTTGTCTTCTGATTCTGTGGCTTTTACTTTGCTGGGCCAAACCGTTCATAGAAGTTCACAATGCCTCAGAGCATGAGGCCGTTTCCCCACAACCCCACAATCAACACCCTTCACAGCTTGCGCCATGATTCATGGCCGGCAAGTCAATCCGCAAAACAAACCGCCGGAATTGCTCTAAAAAAGAAGCAAGGGAGGAGGGTGATTCCTTGAAAGCCTGTCACGGTCGGTGCCGCAACAAAAACAACTTGCTTCATTTGAACCGATCTGAACCTGTCTACATGCAGGTCCTCCAACTGAGCGTAAGCTTTCTTGAAGAGTGATGCTCGGCTTCATGCAAAGGAAATAACCAAAGACAACGAAAGAGCTTCGCCATGGCGTGGAACGTTGAACGCTTCGTACCGTACGGAGGTATGACATGAAGGAACGACGCGGGTCGTACCGCAGGACGGACCCTCAGGTCGGGCCCCTCACGACGCGGGTGTCGAACACGAAACGTTTCGGAAGGCAGTGGATCCATCATGTAGACTCTTGATTGGTGGACCCATCCATTTGAACTGGAAGTCCTGTTCATATGGGGGGGCGCTATGTGGATCCATAAGGGACTATGATGTGGGGCAAGCCCCCTGGTTGCCCTGGCCGTCGCCAACGCTGCCTCGATTCTGGATGGATGTCCTCGCTTCTTCGTGCCCAGGGATTGACCACAGGTCCCCATGAAGCCGCCTCAGACGGAGCGAAACCCCGCCGCAACGGTCACGATGTCTGCTTGGACGGGTCGAGGCACAGGGGGCACAGGGGGCACTTGGTGGTACAAATGGGTGTTAAAATGCTGTTTCTGTGACATGGTGCCATGTGTCATTTTGTTCAAGCCTCCAACTAGGCTGCTATCACACACATCCCGAAGCCAAGATGGAATATGGATTGGGGATGGGAGCTCCACAACTGGCAAGAGAGAATCTCAAGATAGACCCCCTTCTTGTTTCCTTTCGCCGCCTGCGGCTCCATTTGTGGCGCCAGGCTCTTCAGCTCTTCAGCCTAGGTGACAACACCAACACTCCAGTGGCCCGATGCTTTTGGAATCCCATCCAGTGGTTTCATGGGAACCCTGAAGGGCAGAGTGGGGCAGAGTGGATGGAGTCTTGTTCTTTCGGGCATCTATAATCTATACTATCTAAGAATATCTAAGAGGGTGTTGGCATAGAAATTGACATAGAACCCCAAGTCACCTGGGGCGAACGCAGAGGAAAAGGCTATAGCATCGACTCCATGTGTCAAACTCTATGGGGGAAATGTGTATTCTTTGGGAGTCCATGTGACCCCGGAACCTCATGTGACCGAAATGGTGGCTCTACGACTCCCAGGTGGATGAGCTCAGTTTCTTGATGTTTGATTGACTTCGTACGTCTATCCCATGACCAACCACGGTGGTGGATGATGGCTTGGTAAAGGCCTCTCTCAAAGTTGATAGCACAAACACAGAAGAAAGCGTTGAACCTGGCAGAGTTGGCCGGATGCCCCCGATGCCGCGAGCAGCGAATGACGATTCGCCACGACGTAACCAGACCGTCCCAACCGGTTAGACCGTCTTGGACACGGTGAAAGATGCAGGTACTGTGGCCGAGCCCCCTTTGGTTCCAAAAGAGGCGGAGCAAGGACTCCGGATCCCAAAGAGATGGCTAAGACACACAAAACAAACCATCGCCCCACGACTCAAGGCTTGGTTGAAGAGTTGTTTTCACGAACTTGGTGACTTCACAAACCAAAAGCTTGGACCAGGGGCGATAAAGGGGACAGGGCCTTCTTTTATCGTGTTTATGTGTTTCTTAAGCTCCTTCCATTGGTGTGTCTTTCCATGTGCTTGGCTTTGCGAGTCATTTTTTTGGACGGAAACCATTTTTTTTTTTGTGGTAGAAAACTCCCAAAACCATCCCCAAAACCAGCCAAGAACCTCATCCAAGAAAGCTTCTTCGACTCCACGAGCATCCAAAAAAAGAATGGCCATGGGCCATGACATTTTCCAAGCAGCATAAAACTCAGCTTCACGTGTCCACAGCTCCACCAGCTGCTGCGACCGCTTGAAGCGCTCCAAGTTCCAGCGGATCAACCGGGACTCCTGCCGCTCCGAGTTCGACACCCCCCGTTGGAAGGCCAAGCGAATCGGTCTCCGAACCCAGAGCCCTGGAAGCCCAATTCGTCTGGTGAGTTCGGAATCGGTCATGGCGTTCTCCCTGCACACACCTGGTGGCGTGAGCGTTCAGTGGATGTTCTTCACATGGTTGCAGCGTTGGGGCCGGAGAAGAGAGCTGTGGCGAGAGTTGGCGATGAGCGAGAGACGTTCGCGCGACGCGACGCGACGCGCGACTCATGGGGGCTGGAGGTTCAGAAAGGAGTACATAAGTCATTCGCAGGACAGACATCTTCTCAAGTTCACGAAATCCAGACATAGAACCCATTTGATCTCTTTGTTGATAAGAAAAGACGATGTTTTGGCTCCAAAGCAGGGGTCAATCAGGTTCGGGGTAAATAGACTGACTCCGGGGCTCCTTCTTTTCAACCGGTCAATCAGGTTCTTCAACCAATAAAAAGAAGGGATTATTTTCGCCCTGCCGTCTGCACGGATTTCTTTGTGGCGTCGAGTAGTGGGTGGAAGGCAAAGCGATACGAGGTTCTGCGGGTGGTTGAATTGTAAAACCCCTTGAACATCAACAGTCTACATTAGTATGCATCAGTCAAGGAATTCCAATGTGGTGACTATTAGACCCATCCAGTGAGTGGAGATGGGCACCCCTACCCTCCAATCAGCACCCCCGACATGTATAGTCAATCCCCAACATGCTGCATCTTTTGTCAGCTCAAGTTGCCATCTGTTTGTGCAAATGATTTCCCCAATGTTTTTCTTGCTAAACATTTGGCACATAGATATATGCGTGTTTAGTGACGCCATCTGCTTGTGATTCCCTATAAGCCACATCAAAAGGCCAAAGGTCAATGAATGCCGTCTGCTCCTGCTCCGTCTGCCTCTGCTGCATCTCATGCTCATCCAGAATCCTCTGTCGCGCCTCCTCCAAGAATTCATCGCCCACATCCAACCTTGCAGCAAATCATCTGGGATCTACGCGAAGATCTCGAAGAAACGGCTCTTACATGTTCCTACCACACGGGGCGCCCACAAAATCTACAAAGAAACAAATGTTGAACTCAACAAATGCGTTCTGATCCTCAGCAAGTGGCAGAAAGCGTTCTTTGGCTTCCTCTTCTGCTTCAAGCTGCTTCTTCTCTTCATCAATCTGTCGCTTCCTCATGTTGCATCAAACAGCACCCACAGGTAGACCCACTGCTCAAGGCAGATCCAAAATCCTTCACCACTTGCTTAGAACCTATCCGATCCCTAGTATTCTTGACAGGAAAACCTTCATTAATGTCTTTCATTGTGCACTTGGTGGTCCAAAACAAGGGTCACCCGGGCGAGATGGCACGCGCCCAGCCTGAACCCAAACACATCACTGGAAGTGGGACAGGAGGACACCACCTGTTTCTGTAGAGAAAACATGCTCTTCCAACAGACTTTCCATCCAAAGTCCATCGTAGCCCCGAATCCTTCCCAACAAAACTTTGCCTGCACTTGAACTCCCAAAGAGACATCTGTCAGAACATGTCAGAACCGACTTGCCTGTGGGTCAAAAGCCACATCCAAGTAGTACCTGGTTGGTTGACCTCCGGCTGACGTCGTCTATTCGGTTCATGTTCGGTGGGACAAACCGGTCGGTCTCCGAACGACCCACCGACGCCACGACGCCGAGCGTAGCTCCGAACGACCGGCGCCGAGTAGAGCTCGCTCGCCGAGCGGCTCGGCGACCTGCGCGTCCAGCGCCAGCTTCAGCTCCTCCTGCTGCTTGCGCCTGGCAGCCTTGACAACCAGCCGGCTGGGGCGCTGGAGAGATGCCGGTGACTAGTAGCGATGCCCTTGTGACTAGCTTCTTGCTCCTAGTAAGGCCAGGAGCTACTAGAAACGTCCTTGCTCCTAGTAGCGATGCCAGGACCGGAGCTACTAGTAGCTTCTTGTTACTAGGAAAAGGATATTAAAGAGGAATCATTGAGGGGGAACACGATAGAAACCGGTTGGTTAAAAGTTTATACGATGAAATACAAAATGCATTGAGGCTCATTGAGGATATCTTGACTTTGGTCCCCGCTCAACTTCAGATCAGCTGTGTTCTCCACGTTCACATCAGCAAGTATTGTTGCTGGAGTGGACAAAAATCGTCTCAATCTCCTCTTTCCGGGTCTAAGGGGATGATCTTCGAATCAACCAACTTCCTTCAAAACTCCTTCCGATTCTCACACCCAAGTCGTGGCGAAGCTCGCCCCCAAGTCGTGGACCTTCCCCACCACCCTCCGGCCAACCTCTTCAGGTGTCACACGGGGAGTGAAAGGCCGTGCTGTCCGTGGTGTCCGCGGAGTCGCCCACCGCGGAGTCGCCGCGCGGGGTTCTTCCTCGCAGGTCGAGTGAGACCTGGGTGTTGATGAACCTCTCTTGCTAGCGCCCAAATCAAGTCTTCAGGACATCCGAATTTTCTCGGGTGGCATCGTCAGACCGTGGGGTGTGTTCCAGGGCTTGATTCCGCTGGGCGACGCTTTGTAAAGTGTTTGTCGTCCAGAAGCCACTGCCAACGTGGAACTCCGGCCAAAGAAGGCTGTGGTGATGTCCACAGTGGCCCGGCCAACACCCGAGGAAAAAGCAGAACTTGGATGCTCTAGTTTTGGGATCAAGAGAAAACCATCCACCCTTCCAAAGGAATATGGTTTGGAGTCCAGTATTGAGTCGTATCAATATGCATGAGAAGAAAAAAAACGTGAGAGTGAGAGTTTGGGCACCACCATTGGCATGCAAAGCAACATGTATGATCCCTAAGAGTCGGATTTTTTCTGGTCATGTGTTAATGAGATGGGCCTTTGGGGGTCTTGCAGGTCCGACCGAGTGCAAAACACCAACACTTGCTGAGCCTAGCTTCTTGGTACTAGTAGCTTCTTGTTACTAGTAGCGATGGCCTCCAACCTACTTGCGATGGCCTCCAACTAATAGCGTCCTAATACTCATATGGCTTAGTAATCCCTGATGATCCACCAGATCACATCACACGCGAGTTTCGCGTGACGGCGAAAGCTCCTCCAACCGTCGAGTTGGTAGAAGAGGTGAAAAAAAAAGAAAAACAGACCATCCATGGGACTGGAATATGTGTATAAAAATATATATATATGATATAACATGACTACATTAAGCCTGAAACTATCCCAATGTGGGGAAATCAGTTATACGTGGATGGTCTGGGTCACTTTGGTTCCAGGAGTCTTAGAGAGTGCTTTCTTTTTCAAGAGTCGATGTCTACTCACAGAGACATGGGCCTAAAAGACACACATGTTGCTCATGTCAAAACTAAAGGTCTTGGAGCCACCGCGCAAGACAAATCCAAAAGGATCCAAAAAGGAACATCACCTCCTTCTCTCGAGATTGGAACATCACGGGACAATGGAACACCAAAATGATCTTGACAAACCTCTACTGGCATGTCTTCGTTCAAAACATCCTGGCACATCCTCCCACGTTTCTACCAAAACAAACCACCGAGGCGGCGGTCCCCCCTGCACTCCCCGCTGCCTCCGTCTGCACCGGCGGCGGAACGGCCGGCTTTTTGGCGGTGTCCGGCACCTGGAGAGGTCTCCACCAACTCCACACAGTCAGTCATCTAATGAGGCTTTTCTCATAGCATATGCAGAAACAAAAAGAAAACTTGTTCCCCTTGTATGTTGAGAGATGAGAAAAGAAACGCATCAAACAAATCAGAGCCGAGTCTCGAGTTTGAAAGAAACATCGCATCCAGAACCCCGCGTCTCCAGCCACCTCCGCAGTCGGTGCCTTCACCTCCGCAGTCTCCTCCGGTGGCCACACCAGCTCGGGCGGCTCGGGCGCGGGCGGTGGCCACACCGGTGGCTCGGTGAGGGACACCAAGACCGCCAAGCAGCTGGGGTCGCCGGGAGCCTGGGAGACCGGTGGTGACTGAGAAGTTCACTGAAGAAAGGATCAGGTGAAAAAGGATGGAGCTGTTTTCCGGAATTGGTCTTTTTCGCGTTTTTTTCCAAAAGGAAAACTCCCTGAATTGAACCTGAACTGAACCACACCTCCTCCACCACGCCTCCGCTTCTTCCTGTGCTCCGCCCAGGAAGGCCCGCACTTCGCGCCCCTCCGCGGCCAAGAATGCACCCGCGCGCAGCTCCGGCACCGGTGGACCGCGGACGGCGGCGCGGACGGCGACGGCGCCCGCTGCCGTGGCGGCGGAGCTGAGGATGGCAAGCTTGGGAGCCAGGCCCTGGAGTTCAACGTCCTGGGGAAGAGGTGTCATGGGAAAAAACGGGCGCGCAAACGCGCGGCGCAGTACTGTAGCTGCCTGGCTGCCTGGACTTCAAGGGACTGAAGCTGCAAGGAACTCTTGCACACCGCCAGAAACGAGAACGTCAAAGCGCGTTCAGTCTGTTGCAAGCTTTTTTCACCTGACCTTCCCCGACCTTCCCCGGACCTCTTCCCACCCGCAGTCTGGGGTTGCGCCGCAGTCAGGCTGCTGCCGAGCGGCCAGCGACGCCAGGAACCGAGGCAACTTCATCCCGCCGGAGGGAGACTGGAACTCCCTGGGCAATGGAGTCCCGAACTGCGACCAGGCCGACAAGCCGTCCTGAAGGCGCGCGGCGAAGGCGCGCGGCGCAGGCAAGGGGAGGGACCCGAGCGACCATTGAGGGAGAAAAAGTCGGGTGAGCTAATCCAATTCGCACAAGACCAAAGGTGGGATCGGATGGATGTCTTGGATGCCAGTTCCACACTTTGAACATGTTCAGTCAGGCCAAGGCACCAGGAAGGGTTGCATGGTGCGCTGGAAGGTCCAAAGCAAGATGGTCTCGTGCGGTGAGAACAGCGATGGCAGCTCATGAGATGTGGCTTGGAAGGTGGTGGTCGAAATCTCATGCACACCTGCCAGTCGGACTGGGCACCAAGCCGTGGCCGCGTTTTTCGGCGGCCAATCCTAAAGAATGCTTAGTTGAAGTTGGAGAATGAGATGTACTGCCCACAGACCCGACAGGGAGTGATTAGTGTCCTTCCTCCAAAAATGATGGATGTGAATGGAAGTGAACCTTTTGTGCTTGAAAAACGATTTCCCTACAAGCAGGGGACGAGATCCACTTCTTGGATGGAGGGTAGCTGATCATATGGGTCATCCCTTCACATCCACACGGAGTCGTCTCACTCCCCTGAAGGAGCTTCCCTGCGTACCTACCTGGAACCAACGAATGCTTCCTATCCCAGAGCATCCATATGTGATATAGATTGATATATTATGATATAGTGACCTGCACGTATGGATCATAAAGTAAAAGGGGTAAATGTACCAGGAGACCCCAAGGCGTGTTGTTTGGACCCTAGGGGGTGGTTTTCTTGACACCCCTCACAACCACTTGGCACCATTGAACGGGTCTCCTGGTGTGCAACCCCTTTCCACGGATGGTCTAGGGATGGTTCCTCATCTCTTCCAACGTGTCACGCTGCCCAAGACCAATACGCTCCACTCGACTCAAAACCACCCAACGACGGTGGTCAACGGCTCCTGAGTAGAGCTTCCAGTTGATTCATTTTACCCTACGATTAGTGGTGGATTATGACGTCATTGGACGTTCTGGGGCTGTTGAATACGCCTCTACCGGAGGGGTTTCTGGGAAGACCCGCCGAACCCGTTCACCACTCCGTTCGCCGCCGAGGCGCGGCACGAGGTGAAAATGTGTTCCAAGAGTTCCACGCCTTCCTGAGCAGGAGTGACGAGCGTCCTTCCCAAAACCTCCCAAACCTGTTTTGTGTCACCTTCACCATGTCCAACACCCAAACACTCCAGGTATGGAATATATGCCTACATTGACCCCCCAAACCACCCCTGGCCTGATCGGCAGTCCTATGGCAGTCCCATGGAGCGTCTGACAGGAAAACTGGTCTCAAGATCGCCCCAGCGTCGGGCAGGGGCGAGTCGGGCACCGCATCGTTCACGCCGCACAACGCCAAGACCGGTTGCAAGCGCCGGAACCATCGATCCTGAGCTCCACGGCCGCGTGCGCGCGCGCAGATCCGATGGTTGGGCACCCCAATCATAATTATAGATCAATTAATCATATCAAACAGGAACGTTAACACATACATTATGTATTTATAAATACACATTAATATATATAAAACAGAAAAAAAAGAACTGATATAAACACCTCATATAACATATGAATAACATATAAACACCTCATGAAAGAACTGGATCCAACCAACAACGCCTCCCACCCTTGGGGCTTCCAGCAGCCCACCCGCTCCGGCGGACCGGCTCGCTCGGTCGGATCCAAGGCGCGGCGGCCACGTGAAGCTTCAGGAAGCTGCTCCTCCTGGGATGGGGAGGGCAGCTGTGAGGGATGGAGAGTCCCAGGGTGAGGTGAAAATGGTGATAAACTGATAACACCTATTACAAATATATATATATATGATGATGTATATGTATGTGTATTTATACATATATATATATATATGTTTGTGTGTGTGTTCTGTATACTGTATAACATATATACCCTGGGAGTCAAAGACTATAAAAAAAATGGTCTTTAGGGGACCTGAAAGGGAACTTCCTTTACTTCAGCCGGTCAAAATATAGTCTTTGGACTTCTAGGGTATATATATATATATATGATATATAGATGAAGTGTGATAAGCCATGATAAACCTATTGGGTGACATACTGCGGGCAGGAGCCCCGACTCCGGGTCAAGGAGCATCTCTGTCTACAGGAGATCCTTGCAGTCATTAAGGCTACAACGCAGTCAGGAGTGGTCTTAAGTCTCTGAGTAGGAGTAGGAGTTCCTGGGCGCTCCTATATACCCTCCCTTTTCAGCTCTTCCCCAATAAAACGGGATCCCATGACCCACAAGAGAATGGGCCGTCCTCGCATCAGGCCGCACCCGCTGGTAGATGTCTTGGTCGACGGCCATGAGGAGCTCCTTCAAAACTTCACCCAAGGCCTTGCACGGGGTGTGGTTCTAGTCGGTGTCAGAAATCAATCCCTAGCTTTGCGAGAACTATAGTTAGAGCAAAGCTGCTGGCACGTCGCTGCTTCGGTTTCGTGGGCGCGCCGGGGCGCGGGGTTCTGATGTTGCCAGGTTTGGGAGTTAACTCAAGAATGAGGACAGCTCGTCAGCTTGGCTCAAATCCCCAAGATGTTTCTTGGCAAGCCCCCGTCTCAGATCAAAGCCACCACGACTTAGGAAGCCTGGGCCGTAGACTGGTCGAGTTTCGGTTCGGGCGATAGCTCGCCGCGCCTGCGAGCATCGGCTGGAGCTGGAGCGCAAGTCCTCACCAATGCGCCTCAAGCGCAAGCATCCGGTGCAGCAAGCCGCCCAGTGACGCATCAGTGTGTGCTCCAGCACCCCGGCTCGGGGTACACCCCCCGGTTCAGCTGGGGCAAAGCGCACGTGATCGGTGAGCTGGTCCACCTGCGACAGCATCCGTCAGGTGGGCCGAGACCCAGTGGTCAACAAGAGCGCTCATCGAGTGACTTCGCATGCTCCCTTCGCCAGGCAAGGCAACCTCATCACCGAATGTCTTCCTTTTTGGCGCAGCACCCACGAAACGGGCAGCACCCGGACGGCCTTTTGTCGGCCGAACGTTGCTCTCCTCGACCCTCCCACCTTCCGTCACCTTCAGGCTTTTGGTTCTGCGAATCCATCACACGCGCCGTCACGCACGAGGAACACCCGCCAAGCACCCGTCCGTCACCCCCATGGCAGGGGTGGGGAGGCTCCCCACCCCATGGCAGGGGTCGCCTGAAAGAGCTGCGATCCAACCCCCTGCAGGGCCCAAAACGCGCTGCGCGCCACGTGGGCGTCGCTTCCGGGGCTCGGCTGGGCGCGGAAGCCGTCCCAGGCAGCCCGAGATTCAAGGGCCTCGACGGAGGGCCAAAGCCAGGCCTGGGTGAAAAGGTGCAGGTGAGGTGATGTCTTCACATCAAATGGGGAACAAATCTTTCGGAGTGAACAATTGATTCAAAAGGCTCTTCAATTTGTGAAAGGGTGGATAGTGGAGGGTGGTCTTAAGAGCTCAAAGAGGTGTTGGTGCTCGTGGGGTGGAGGCATCCTCCACCCCACGAGCCGAAGCCTAGTTCCAGCGTTGAATTCAGCAAAGCCCAACAGTTCCAACCATGGGCCATCCCATCTGGCTTGGTACTGCCCCCTTAGCTGCCGCCCAACAGCACCAAGCAACCACCGTGGACGGCATCGCCGGCAACCTTGCTTCCTCATCCAAGTAGACCGCACGGTGCTCACCGAGGTCGGGCAGATCCTCTGACAGCTCCCTGAAGCCCAGCTCGGTCAAGGAAGGGGCCCAGAGTGGTTCCCAAGTGGAGACTAATCACATGTTATATGATCCAATTGCTTATGTTGAAAGGCCATTCATGTGAAACGACGCGTTTCGTTCGTTTGGAGCTGCACTTCTCTGTCGCCCCGACCCGACCGGTCGCCCCAGCCGCTCAGCGCCAGACGCCGCGTCGCCACCGGGCAGCCACGGTTTCAGCTGCGGATGCAGCGGAGGCTCCCAGGACGCATGGCTTTGATGGTCCAGGAAGCCAGACGGCAACACCTCCCGGTGGCCAGAAGGCGAAATGAATCCAGAGATCATCCGGAGTCCGAATCTCTTTGATTTGATCTGGAAACCCAGTCCCAGTCCTAGAAAACAACTGCTTTGCCCAGTCCCAGTGCCACTTCCTGTGTGAAGGTTTGCCAGATATTACACTAACCATGGGTTTCCGGTTGGGACTGGGTTTCCAGGATCATAAGTTCATGATTCTATTGGAAAGAAGTAAAGCAGGAGAAATGGATATCTGATATCGGATGGATTGGTGGCTCGTTCCCGGTTCAACCCTCAGATCTCCCCACAAAGACCTCGGTGTCATTTCGGATCGAAATCTTGCTGCAGCGCAGCAGTGTCGATACTGTGAACAAAGACTCACCAGCTGGACTAAACTCTGGTCTACTCTGGGTTTTGGGACTCCAACTTCGAGCTGGAACACAGTCCTCCCAACCTCTTCATCCTGGTGCCACTGCACGTTCCGCTGGCTCGGCTCCGCAAAGAAGCCGCTCGCACGACCCGTGGCGTGGTCATGGTCGGTCGCGGCGGCTTTCTCCCGGGCAATGGTACCGGTCGCAGGCGTCGTCGCATCGAGGAAGAAGAGCTGGTGGAAGAGGCCTGGACTTGTCCGTGGTTGCTATGAGCTGGCGGAAGCCCAAACACTCCACGTGGCTGCCGCAGCTATGTCTACAACAGACTGTCTACGTGGTTGATTTCAGGGGTCATGCCTGGCATGAGCTGAGCGATTCATAGGAGTCGGCGTCCAGACTCGAAATTGTGGCGTCTTCGTCTTGAGAACTGTGAAACGATTTTTCTTCCTGGGGCCTCTCTTAAGTCTCAAATACTGGCCTCAATAGATGGAAGAAGCTATTTGCCACATAATATATATATATATATATATATTTGTGTTTTTTCTGGATGACTTTTGCCTGTGAACTGTAAATGCTTGAGGCAATGCCTCGTGCCTCATGCCTGTGTCTCGTATCGAAGTTGCTTTGTGACAAATGAAACGGGGCACCATACACATTGCAAGAAGGAGAAATGTAACACTATATGTTGAAACTGATTATATATATATATATCCAATTTTATACATTCGAAACATGATGATCATGACTACTTGCCTGCCTACACCCTATGGCCTATGACCTTCACTCAACCACTTCGCCCTAACTACACGGCAGCGCTTTCAACATGAACGGACGGATGCTTCGGATGCTTCGGTGGCACCGCACTGCTTCGGTGGATTGGAACCTCTTCGGTGCCTTGGAACGGAAGCGAAGCTTCCCCTACTTGGTGGACCTGTCCGAATGGGGGGACACCCGCCCGGTCACCGCCTGGTCACACCGCCCGGTCACACCGCCTTCCACGGCCATGGCGCCCGAAGGTCCATCGCACACAGCGGGACGGGCGTGGAAGAGGTGGAAGGAATCTCCAGGCTTGGTCCAAGTGGTTGAGGGAAGGGCTCCAGGATTATTTTTCAATGGGCTTTATCCGCAATGGCTTTTATCAGGATCATATATGTTTATCAAGGATTGTGGTGGGTTTTGCAATGGCTTTGTCCGCAGGACGGCTCCAGTTTCTCCAGATTTCACAGTGTGGGGATCCAGGCGGTTCGAAGGCACTCCGGTCTGTGCTGGGCGAAGCCGGGCTTGTGCTTGTGCTCGTGTCCTCCCGGCCACGCTCACCCTCTGCCAGACACTGCGTGGCTTCGGCTGCGAGGCGATGAGAGGTGTCTTCAAAGGTAGAAGCCAGGTGGACCTCAATATACTTGGAACATCTGCGAAACAGCCTCTAGAAGAGGGGGGTCGGTGTTTACTCAAGGCAGACCGTGACACAAAAAGCGTTTGGATGGGAAGGCATGCCCCTTGATCCCGACCCACACTGCAGCACGGCAGTCCCTTTGCAGCACGGCAGTCCGTCTGTCTTTCTCGGTCTCTTGTGTCAGCACAATTGCTGGACACAGACACACGACAGTCGTGGTCGAATCCTGAATTCGGTCCTGGCAACTGGAAGAGCCTAGGCCTAGTCCACTTCCTCCATCTTGGAGGCCTCATCCGCAGCACCCTCCACTTCCTCCAGAGGGGGCCTCGAGGTGTTCGGGAGCGATCCAAAGACGTCTGGCTCGAGGGTCCCGCGGTTTGTGGGGGGGTCATCTCCGCGAATTCCCAGTGAGTGGGGGGGGGAAGGGTATGACATACCCTCCTCCAACCATCATGGGCCAAAGTGGATGGCATGGTTTGCAGAAAGACATAGAAAGACCCTTTTCATCCCTTTTCCGAATACAAACAGGGCGTTGTCCACTTCCATCTTTCTTGGAGGGTATCCGGGTATCACATATACTATATTATTCAAAAACAGAAGATCCGCACCCCGGAGTTTGGGGTTTCCCAGACCCTGCAAGAAGGACGAGACCAGACCTGGAGACCCCACTGACCGGTCTGAGACTTCACCACGAGCTGTCATCGACTTCAGTGGAACCAAAAAGATCGTCTTAAGGCCAGTTCGGGGGGCAGGTCATCGTCATCGCCCAAGCCCTCATCATCGTCGTCGATGCTCAGGCCGAGCTTGATCATGCGGTGAATGCGGCCGGCGAACTGGGTGGGCTCATCCAGGTTGAAACCAGATGTCAAAAGCGAAGTATCGAAGAGCAACCAAATCAAATCCTTGACAGTCTTGTCGGACTTGTCTGCGGCTGCCTTCTTCTTCAACTCAGCCATGATGGAGTGCTTGGGATTCACTTCCATGGTCTTCTTAGAGACCATGTAGGAGGTCATGGAGCTGTCGCGAAGAGCCTGTGCCTTCATGATGCGCTCCATGTTGGCTGACCAGCCATACTCAGAGGTTGTCAACACGCAAGGGGAGTCGGCCATGCGGGAAGAAATGATGACCTTCTCCACCTTGTCTCCCAAGACTTCCTTCATGAGCTTTGTCAGCGGCTCAAACTCAGCCTTCAGCTCCTCAATCTTCTTCCTGAGCTTTGTTTCCAACTCGCAGCACGTCCATGGGGGGGAAAAATCGGATCAGCACGTGTCTGAGATCCCAAAATCGGATCAAACTCTGAACCCCAGATGCCTCCTTTCGCAGCGAACCTCATCAAACACCTTGTTCCACCAGACACCTAGACACCGCATGACACCGCGCAGACCATCTGTTCCACTCCAGGCGTCTTTTCGTCCTCATCATCAATGTCAAGACCTGGACGCTTTGCGGAAGACGTTTGGCACACGAGCTGTTTTTGAAGACATACCCAAAAAAGCGCCGGTACGGTGTCCGTCGAATCTGTCTGGACCCCATGCTGAGCTTCAGACCCTCCTTAGTCGTACTCTTCAATTTCTTGCCTTGGATCAGCGATCCTCCACCGTCGAGACTCGCCCCGTTTCGACGGCGATTTCAGGCCGATGTGTCATATACACATGGAGCGGTGTCATTGGGAGATGGGACTATTGGTCGATGTGTCCCTATTGGTCGCAATGCTCAAGGAATGTCCTGGCAGTCTTCACATACAACATCATACAACCATGCCAAGTCGCCGTCGAACTCCTTGAGCTGCTGGGTGGCATACTCGTCGATGGGGTCAATCATGTACAGCACCTCAATGCCCTTCTTGCGCAAGGTCTCGAGGAAGGGTGAGGAAGACACTGCTGCAATGCTCTCACCTGTGATGTAGTAGATGTCATTCTGTCCCTCCTTCATGCGGTCCACATACTCCTTGAGGCTGATCTGCTCATCGCCAGACTTGGAGGTGTGGTAGCGAAGGAGTTCAGCTACCTTCGTTCGGTTGGTGGAGTCTTCATGCACTCCAAGCTTGAGGCACTTGCCGAACTGCTCGTAGAACTTCTTGTAGTCGTCCTTCTTCTCGGCAATCTCGGCGAACATCTCCAGGCACTTCTTCACCAAGTTCTTCTTGATCACTCGCAAGATCTTGTTCTGCTGAAGGGTCTCGCGAGAGATGTTCAAAGGCAAGTCCTCAGAGTCCACAACACCCTTCACGAAGTTCAGCCACTCTGGCATCAACTCCTCGCAGTCATCCATGATGAAAACACGGCGCACGTAGAGCTTGATGTTGTTGCGCTTCCTGACTTGCTGAGTGCCCCAACTTCAAGAATAATCAAGAATCTAAGTTTATTTCCTGCTACGAACTCCAATGCAGCAACGCAAAAAGTTTAAAGTATGTTCACTGGTCAAGTGAGCTTCTTCTTAGTCTCAAAGAGGTCGAAAGGAGCCCGGCGAGGCACAAACAGCAGCGCACGGAACTCCAGTTGGCCTTCAACGCTGAAGTGCTTAACAGCCAAATGATCCTCCCAGTCGTTGGACAAAGACTTGTAGAAGCTTGCATACTCTTCGTTGGTCACATCCTCAGACTTACGCATCCACAAGGGCTTGTTCTTGTTGAGCTGCTCCCACTCATGGGACACCTCCTTCACCTCACAAAGAATTACAACATCGCTGCCAAACTGGATTGAAAACCGGAACTGCTTGGCATTTGTAAGGCATAATTAGCTGCCCATTCCCCTTTGCAAGCGAACACAAATACAAACACAAATATTCTTGAGGCTAATGTCAGTTGTACATTGACTTTCTCCAAAACTCTGGTTCAGCTGCAGGAACAGAAATGTGCTTTCCGTCTCTCCCGTGATTTTTACACGTTCAAAGCTTTGACTGGGTCTGTTATTTACTCGAGTGTGTCATGGTTTCAGGAAGAAATCTTATGATTCCAGCTCGCCTTCTTCGTTTTCTTCTTCTTCTCCTCCTTCTCCTTCTCCTCATCGACCTCCTCGATCTTGGGCTCGTCACCTTCTTCCTTCTTCTCCTCTTCACCCTCATCCTCGCTGTCGGTGACCTCCTTCTCCTTGCTCTTCTCGACATAGAGCTCAATTGGGAAGCCGATAAACTCGGAGTGCTTCTTCACCAAGTCCTTCAGGCGGCGCTCCTCCAAGAACTCGGATTGGTCCTCTTTGAGGTAGCAAATGATTTTCGTACCGCGCTTGATCTCACCATGCACAAGCTCGGTGTCCTTCTGCACAGTGAAGGAGCCACCTGCTCCAGATTCCTCAGTCACTTCCCCAAAGAATTCAGGAAACCAATGAAGATCATTAAGGATCACACCGTTAACCTTTAGAGTGGCAACAGGATCCAAAAGGTTAGACCTGTTTTGGCCGCAGAGTCCCAAATGTACTGCTCGTCGTCATTGTGTTTGCTAACCACACGAACCTTGTCCGACACAAGGTATGCGCTGTAGAAACCAACACCAAACCTCGGATTGGTGTCGGGAAGCCAAACAAGGTTGAGAATGAAAATCACCAAACCTATTTGAGCAAAAGTTGTCTCCCACTACAAATTCAAGAGACTGGCCAATCATGGAGATGTCACCCCCAGCGGCCATGGCCTCCATAAAAGCTTTGGTGCCTGACTTAGCAATGGTGCCCAAGTTGTTAATGAGTTCGTTTTTGGTCATGCCGATGCCAGAGTCCTCGATGGTCAGGGTCGAGTTCGTCTTGTCCGGCACGATCCTGGGGGGCGCACTGCTTTCAGAATGAACCAAACGCTCCTTCATTGTTTCAAAGCTCATTTGTTCACAAAATACCTTGAGACAAGTGGCTTGATGAAGAAATTCGGCTGGGCCTGCAAGCAAACAAGAGCGCGCTGTATGGAACGTTTGCAATTCATTACTCCCTCAACACCACCAAGTTCACCGCTAATTGCACCAAGAGCTATCAAACATCCAGTTCGGCCTCGATCTTGTCAGGGTCGGTGATGGACTCATAACGGATCTTGTCCAAGGCGTCCGAGGCGTTGGAGATCAACTCTCGCAAGAAGATCTCCTTGTTGGAGTAGAACGTATTGATAATCCTTAGCGGGAATCGATGAAAGATGCCTTAACCTAACACGGGTTAGAGGCACAGGATGCCTGCCAGGATTGCTTCACGACGATGAGAAGTGCAACTGTAGCAAAACCACAGCCACGGCCGCCAACCACCACCACGGCAACTACTCCTACCTGACAACTCCGGCAAAAAAGGAGTGTGCCGGCGCCAACGATGTTATGGAGCATTGATGAGCATGGTTCGTTGCTATCTCGCGGACTGCAACCACTTCAGGGCTTCAAGTGGGCACCAAAAACAAAGCCCCGAAGTCCACTTCAGGGCCTTGTCTGTAACAAGGGGAAGTAGAGTCCAACACCAAGGTTCTTTTTGGGCATCCGTTCGTAGAACGCGTTTGGAGTCTTGCTCTGTTCCTTGACTCTTCGACTTAAATTAAAGTTTAAAGAGCAGAAGGCTATGCCATACCTCGGTATATATACGCTTATATCGCTATATGGACGAAGTAGCGGCTGGATCCCCTGGAACCCCTGCCTTGCTTAGGTAAGGACACTTGGAGCCCGCTCATCTCACTCTCGCTGGAAACAGTTGCCTTGCTTTAACCAACAAGGCGCGAATGGCCGGCAGTAGCATCTACCCTTGCAGAGTTGACTTAGGTCTTGGGTTCCCACTCCTGCGGTCATGTCATGTCCCCTTTCCTTTCCCCTTCTGTTCCCTCCTTCGGCAGATTGCCACATTATGTGGGCTCTTTGACGGGGTGGCTATTTGTCGTGGATTGCAGCGCTATCTGGGCGCAAACCTGTGGTAAGTGGCAAGTGACAACTACCGACGGACCATGATGGACGGCCACGTGATGTGGCACAATTTAACACCACCTGATGTTATAGGCTAAACAAAATCAATGTCTGGCGTCTGTGGGGCCTCCACGCTTGGTCTCCATGCTTGGCCGGAGATGAGACGCCTTTTGAAACCCAGGCCTGAAGAGGTTTTGATCATCCAAATGGATGAGGTTTCTTCCACTTCTGCGTGCAAAGACTTAAACAGGAGCGGACTTGGGCGGTGGGTAAGCGAATGAGCGGAAATTCTCAACGCTTTTGTTTGGAATCCCGTGAAGATCCCCAAAGGCAGCACGACATGGGGAGGTCGACTTACTCATCGGGAGGTCGCAATTCGGGATGGTTTCTGACAAGGGCTCAAGCTCATCAACTGCTGGATGTCAGCATTGAAGGCGAAGGTCTCTGCCATTGCTGCAAGAGAACAGGCGAATTGGTAACTTCTCAAAATTTGGGAGCTGCAGTGTCTCACAGCCAAAACAGCAAAGTGAGAGAAATGGTGGATGAAACACATATGAAACCCTTCCGGGATCACCGCCGCTTCTGGGGACACCATCCTGCGGCATTTACGCTGGTCATAGACGAGGCGTGGGATTGTTTTCTTCGGCGGAGACATGGAACTGCCGAAAGCACCCAGCCAGAAGATCTTTATTGAAACATGGCTCAGGAAAGGAACATCGTGTTTTTGACCAACGCCTCCAGCCTGCTGACCGCTATCCTGATCCAGAGAATCTCCAGTCCTACCCGAAGAATTGCCTCAATCAGGAAGATACTGTATCCCCTGTCCTGGACTCCTGACTCTGGTCAATCAGGAAGACTTTTTGGGACCAAACCATCAAACCATCCAAAGCTCAGTCAGTCACCAAACATGCACGGGGAAGGCCCAGCGAGCGGCGCGCGAACTCCGCCTGCGCTGCCGGCTGCGTACGCGCTCCGAGCGGAGGTTCGAATCGTTCATGGCAATGAGAAATTCATCCTCAGCCGAACTGCCTACCCTCAATTTCAGTCATCACAGGGAATCAAGAAGCACTTCTTCCACATCCCTCCACATCCACCCGAGCGCCTATATCGGCCATCGAAGAGAGAAAAAAACAAGAAAAAGACACGTCTTCGACCTCGCGCGAGAGCCGGCGAACTCGTGGCACCTCCTCGTTGGTGGGGCGGTACAAGCGGCAGTCCACATAGAACTGGGTTGGGTGAGGCCTTGTGCAGACTGGTCTGGCCATGCTGGGTTTACACGTGTCACGGTGCGTGCACCGGAGGCTGGTGCACCTAGATTCAGGTGACCGAGAATTCGATGAGATCCGATGAGTGAGGTGACCGAAACAAGAGCTGCACACACCAAATACCAAACCCCAAGGCGCTGGACCGCCTGCGCCCGAGACAAGAACCGCCCCACCCGATTCTGGACCACTTCGCATCCGCCAGAAACGAAAGTCCCCGGTGCCCATGCTCCGCCGTTGGACGTCGCGGTGTGGACCCCGGCCGTCGATGGATTGGAACCGGTCTCTGACGGGTCTCTCTCCGAGCGTCCGGGAGTGGGTGGCGACTGTCGGACGAATGGGGGAATGGATTCGTTTTTTCACCAGACCAAACTAGTGGAACTGGAATAGTGGCCTACATGGATGGGGTCGTCTGGATGAGGGATGTATGTAACGATTACAGTCCCATGCATGTATCGCCTTGCGTTTTCTCAAGGAAACGCACGAAAAATGCAAGAAAATCGCAAAAACGACGCAAATACAAAGCAAAAAAATGCAAAGGCAAAGACCAGAACGTTTTTGATCGCATTTGTTTTGTTTTTTGATTGCATTTTTTTTGCATTTGTTGTGCTTTTTTTTGCATTTTTTGTGCCTTTTTTGTGCATTTGTTTTGCATTTTTTGTGCGTTGTTTGCATTGGTTTAGTGGACAAATGCGTTTTGTTCACATTTATTTTTCGCTTTTTTTTGCATTCCAAGGCATCCTTTGGTGACTTGTTTTTGCGTTTTCTGTGCATTTTTTTCGGGATTGGTTTTGCAGTATTTTTGCATTGTTTATGCATTTCTTGTTTTGCTGTGTCATCAGAACTAGCTTTAGCGTACATCATAACAATGGGTGTTCCATGCTGTCCGGGTGTGGGGGAAAAAAATGGCTGGGAAATTTGACAACTAAGTATCCAGTTGCTGTCCAGCTTAAAGGGATTACTTCCACTGAACATCGTGAGATAATTGGTGGTTGATCTATATAAATTCCTTCTCACAATTGTGTCAAAGAGAAATCACGAATTGTTCGCGAACTCCATGTTTAACTTTCGCGCGGGGTAAAATGGCGACGGTCGTCTTCTGTTTCCACAGATCTATCTTTCGCAGATCTTTCGCAAAACAAAATGCTCATCTTTCAAAGGAATTTTTGCAAACAACATAAAATGGTGCTCAATGAACCTAGGCCTTATGTCGACTTTTTGATCAACTACCAATTGCCATGGCCGGTGTGAAAGCAACCGTACTTCTCGAGATTCTCAGATTACTGGGTATACAGTGGTTGTTTCTCCGAACTGGCCGACCCTCCACGTCCAACCAGTCCGCACGAGTCCGAGGTCCCCCAGCTCCGCCGCGTGGAGCGCCTGAGCGGAGCGGAGAAGCACGGAAAACACCAGTGGCCGAAAACCGCATCTGTGGAGACTCGTTTTTTTGACCTCAGCCAATGAGCAACTGATCTTTGCCTTCGGAAACCAAAAACGCCATTCGTTCCCAAACCGGCGCAGCGTCAAGAGCACCCGCGGTGCCTTCATCATCGGCACGTCAACGGGACGTCGTCGCGGGTCATGTTTTTTCGATGCGAGAGATGGCAGAAGGAACTTTGGCAAACGTGAAGCAAGTTCAAGTCTACAGTGTTTGTTGTCGTTCTTTGTGTGAGGGGGCTTCATTTGGTCAAGCCCAACCCATTTTCAGTTGATGAGATTTCAGATCATGTTTGGGTCGGACATGGTTCATGAATTCCACCTGGACACGTGATTCCAGTTTCTTGGGTGACCAAAGGGCGACTGGCTGAAGTTTCCGTTCCAGCACTGCAGCCAAACAGAAGCATCACACTCGAGCATCCTATGCTAACATGTGCAAAACTGCGTCAATTGCTGCTTTCGCCTGCCAACAAGAGCTATTGTCGGTCTATCACGCCCTTTGCTTCTTCTCAGGACTGTTCACAAGGAAACCGTTGAAGCTCTAAACCTTCAGGCAGGCGGCGGGCGCTCCTGCACGCCTTGCCATGTGCTCCAGTCGAGCTTTAGCCCCCGACTCGTGATCCGAGATTGGCCACCAACACTTCTTGTCAGCCTCCCACGCAAGGGCAAACTCTTTGCCCAATGGGCGCTCATTGCGATGTGCCTGCTTCTCGGGTAAGGGATCAAAAAAGTTAAAAGGTAATCAAAAGAAAAATATTCAACGGGGATCAAAAACATAAAAAGGGAATCAAAAAAAAGAAAAAAATATGTATATATATATATATATTCTAGCCTACTGAGGATGGTTGGGGTTGAGCATCGGCCCAAAACAAGAGGAGGACAAGACCCAGGAGACAGAGCCGGGTGACAGACAGGGGCGCGGCCAAGACAAGGGCAAGAGGAGGACCTGCAAATGCGATGGGCGACCCTTTACATAGTTAGTTTTCGTGGCAGGCGCAGTGCAAGAGTGCAGATTTCGTGGTGCTGGAGGGGAGTTGGGGGGGAGGGCGCAGCGCCTCCCCCCAAAGCGAACCAAACGTTAAAATACAGCACAACAAAAGAAATCACTAGAAACTATATATCCTATCACCCATTTCAGTGAAGGGCATCTAAAAGTGCACAAAAGGACCTAAGGCAACCGAAGCCAAAAGCATTGTAAGCTTGCAGGAATCGTGCTTCTCCGCGCTGCAACCATGGCCTTCGAAAGCAGCCTCAGAATAAGAACTGGGCGAAGTGTTTGAAGCTTTCAAGCATTTCTTGAAGCTTCAAGCACTTCGCCCACCGAAGGCATGTCACTGCTACAAGGCTCCTTGTCTGGGTGGCCCCATAGTAGGGACTATCCCCACTTGAATTGCGCGCCCATTAAAAATTCAACAAGGGCGCACCGCACTCACCAGATAAGTTGAACAGCGAAGGAGGTTGACCCTGTTTGTGGCAGCATTTTGGGGGGGAAGAGGCAAGAGAAGGAAACCACACCATCTTCAGCAATGGTCCAACAAAAACAGTGCCAACAAGAGCCACCACCTTGCCAGTTCTACTCCTGCACCACTGCTCAGTACCCTGCAGTTAAAAAAAACACGCGCACGCACACACAACTATTAAAATCCTGTGGTCAGCACCGTGCTGTTCAATCTGCAGCCCTGTCCAAACCACCGCCTTCAAAGCCCTGTTTCATGGGCAAACTCTTTGGACCAACTGATTTGCGAAGCCCACTGATATGCCTCGGACCCACTGCGCTGCCCGAGCGCTGCCCGTTTCCCGAGCGGCGCTGCCCCGACCCACGCACCGTTTGCCGCGAAAGCCTCGCTCTCAGACGACAGTAGGCTGAGAGATTGGTGAGAAGCAGAGGTCAGATCTGTCACCGAATCAGCTCAAAAAGGAGACTGTCCTTTGAAAACGCCGTGGACCAAAACTCTCAGATAGGAATGGGGATGAATGGGGTATGTTCACGCAGGCCTGTTCAATGGGAATCGTGGTCAATTCCCCACTCAATCGTCCACTGACCCCTTCAATAGCGCAGCCGAGGGGGGAACCAGGCGCTCTTCGCCTTCCCATTGCCGCGGATTTGTTGCATCTACCGTCACCCGAACCGCGCACGGACCGATTGGATGGATGGCATTGGCCTTAAGATGTCTTAAGGGTCCTTGACAGGCACTGGTCATGATTTCTGAGCCCCCGTCACGAGTACAGAAGAAGCTGTGGTAGTTACAAAGTGAGCCAGACAGGGTTCTTGGAAGTCTTTGAATGTCTCCAATCCTATCCATGTGATGTTTAATCAATCTTGACCCTGCTACAAAGATGGCCGTAAACCAGGGAGGTTGTCTGAGAGCTTTGGCAGGGCGAGGGTTTTTGGTGGCCGGGTCGTGTGCCATCCATTCAGCACGTCCCCACACACACAATTGGTTGACCGCCTTCTGTTTCTCGGAATCGTCAACACCGCGTTTTCATGTTTTTTCCCCAATCAACGAAGCAAGTGATGAACCCAACACGGTTCATAAGGTTCGTCCGAGGTTCGTTGCTGTGCATTGGAAAAACCAGGGGCTCTCTGTCTTTGTGCCAATCAAGACGTCCACTTCGACGTGGGTCCAGTCCACCGGTTCAGATGCACCTCAAGACCACAGACCCACTCAGAGCACCGCACCTGAAGCACCAGACAACTGGGAGTCCATGGGTTGTCCATGGGTTGACTGTCCACCTGTGGAGAGAGACTCCAGAAAACACCGGGCGAAGACCCAGACTTCATGGTTGCACCAAGCTACCCTGTTGAAAACACCCCACAAACGACGAAAAAGCCTGGAAGATGCAGAAAATGAATAAACAAAAAACACGAGGAGGCGACGGAGGCGTGTTTTACGCGAAGGTGAAAAAAACACCAGACCCACGTCGAATGAGTGCGTCCACCTCGGAACGCCGTGCT